GTAGCCGCCCCGGACGGGGGAGTGTGTCAGGATGCTCTAAGGAGGCAGCCCCTTCACCTGACTCGGGGGCAGAGTTTGGGCTGATAACTCCCTCCCCTTAAATTTAAATACTGTGAAGCCCGTACAGAGACAAGCCGGACTGAACCTAAGGCAACGACACGGCACCCGTCTAATGGATTTTTTTTTTTTTTTAACTTTTATTATGATATTTACAACTGTATTAGTATGAATACATCAAGTAAATGTGTACATAGGAATATTATCACACGAAACACGCATGTTGAGAAACTACCCATTGGTAGCACTCTAATAATTTGTCTACATGAGGAGATCACGAGGCCATCTTCTTTTCAGACGCCTCGGAGGGTTATCAGGAATCGAAGAGGAAGCAAGGTTAGAAACAAGAGGATTCGGATGGTTATGAAGTTTATTATGGAAAGATAGGTATCTGGATTTGGCCAAATCGGAAACATATGGAACATTGAGGTCTTTATGGATTATTGTATTTGTGACAAAGTAAGGAGCATTGAGGATTTTACGAAGGATTTTCGATTGTAAAAATTGGATACGAGAGAAATTTGATGGTTTAGTGGAGCCCCATAGCTCAACTCCATAAGTCCAAATAGGTCTTATTATAGTCATGTATATGAGTCGTTTGTAATTCATTGGAAGTTTAGAGCGTTTGTCCAGTAAGTGTTGGAGTAAGCAGAAACGTCGAGCAGTTTCTTGTCGTTTCAGTCTTGTATGAGGATTCCAAGTGAGACGTTTGTCCAGCTGGAGTCCTAGGTATCGGATTTGTTCTACAGGGATAAGTGGGGTGTTATTAAAGGATACTATAGGACAGCAAGTCATTGGTTTACGAAGAAGGGTAAAGGTGATTTGATGGGATTTATTGGAATTTATTTTAATTCTCCAGTTTTGACACCATTCTTCAAGGTTTGTGATGTGTGATTGAAGAGTTTGGGATGCAATTGTTGGATCATTATTAACTGACAGGATACATGTGTCATCAGCGTACGTAGTGATGACAGTGTTAGGATGGGTTAGGATATCAGCTGTATAAACTGTGTAAAGGATAGGACCAAGGATACTACCTTGAGGAACTCCGGCAGATTGAGAAAAGAGGGATGAATAGGTATTATTGTAATTTACTTTGAAGTGCCTATCAGTAAGATAGGAACTGATGATAAGAAAATATGTAGGGGGAAGGAATTTACGGAGTTTGTAAAGCAACCCCGGATGCCAGACTCGATCAAACGCCTGTTGAACGTCGAGAAAAACTCCAGTGCAATACATTCCGCGCTCCAATGCAGAGGAGGCAACATCTACCACACGATGACATTGCTGGATAGTGGAATGGGATGTGCGGAATCCAAATTGGTGATCAGGGATTATGTGGTTAGAATCTAGGATGGGATACAGGCGTTTTAAGATGAGCTTCTCCAGGATTTTGCCCATGATGGGTAAAAGAGAGATAGGACGGTAATAGGATGGGTATTCTGGTGGCTTTTTCTAATGGATTTTAAACTTGGAATACTCTATCACTATACCAACTGAGAGCTCTAGATCAGCTCCTAACACAATTGGACCGATATTAAATAGACATAGCTGCGACCCAAGAAATAAGGTGGACAGGTCAGGGAATATTTAACAAGAAAAATCATACTATCTATTACAGCTGTCATGATCAGCTGCATACCTATGGATCTGAGTTCATCATCAATAAGAGGTTGGCTCTGCTCGTTGTTGGATTTAATGCTATTTCTCCCCGAATATGCTACCTCCGAATGAGAGGTAAATTATATAATTTCAGCATCATGAGCATACATGCACCAACGGAGCCAACGGAGGAAGATGAAAGGGATCGTTTTTACCAAGATCTTGAAAGAACCATTGATAGTTGTCCGAAAGCTGATCAAGATTGTGATTGGAGACTTCAATGCCCAAATAGGAAAAGAACCTCAATACAAACCCACAACAGGTCTACACGGCATTCATAATGTCACAAATGAAAATGGTCAGAGAACCATAAACTTTGCAACCTCAAAAGATTTGGTGGTGGGAAGCACGAGGTTTCCGCATAAAAGGATTCATCTGGCAACTTGGCGGTCTAATGACGGTGTAACTTGCAACCAAATATACCATTTATTGATGTCCTCTAGACACATTTCAAGTCTACAGGATATCAGAGTTTACAGGGGGGCAAACATTGACTCTGATCACTACCTCACAATCGCCCGGATCAGAGCGCGAATTTCAATGGTGCGAGTCCAGCGAAGAACGCAACAAGCCAGGTTTAATCTCGAGGTGTTCAAAGATTATGAGAAGAGAGAAAGCTTCTCTAGGCATATGAATCATAAGATAAGAAACCTCAGTGAATCCGGAGACTTAAACCAACAATGGAGTAGTTGCAAGGAGGCAATAGTGGAAGTCGCAAATGAAACAATTGGATGTCAAGCAGTTACACGGAAAGCAGGATGGTACGATGAGGAGTATAAGAGGATCACTACTATTAAGAATAAAGCTTATCGGCAGGTGGTCCAGCGAAGACACACTAGAACTTCTGTAGAAGAATACCGAGCCCGAAGAAGGGAAGAGAAAAGACTCTTTCAGAGGAAGAAAAGCACCTGGGAAAGGAAACAACTAGAAGAGATAGAGAACATGAGGGGCCAAAATGAAATCAGGAGATTCTACAACCGTATCAACCAGAGCCGAAGAACTTCCAAACCCCTGACCAGTGCTTGCAAGGACACAGAGGGGAACTTCGTCACTGATAAGAACAAAATAATGGAGCAATGGAAATGCTATTTTCAAAGGCTCTTAAATGACAATATCCCCTGCTGTAGAGTGGAAAGGCAGAAATTACCGGTTGGCGATCTGGAGCCTCCCAACATGGAAGATATGGAAGACGCCATAGGATTCCTGAAAAACAATAAAGCCCCTGGGACGGATGGGATACCCTCGGAAATGTTTAAATATGGAGGGGAAGAACTTGCAAGATTTATGCATAATGTTATAATGGAAATATGGGCGGAAGAAGTATTACCAGATGATTGGTACAAGACAATCATCTGCCCGATCCATAAGAAAGGTGATATCTTGGACTGTCACAACTATCGTGGAATATCTCTCTTATCGTGTGCGTATAAAATTCACGCAAGCATCCTCTTTCAGAAGCTTCCATTTGCTGAGAGGGAAATAAGAATATATCAGGCTGTATTAATGCGAGGGAGATCTACGGTCGACCAGATATTCGCTATTAGAACAATCCTAGATAGGGCAAGAGAGTATAATGTATGCATACACTTCCTCTTCGTAGACTTTGAGAGAGCTTATGATAGCATCCTAAGAGATGTGCTCTACCACGATATGTTGGACCTGGGTGTCCCACCTAAACTTGTGCGACTGATACAAGTGACAATGAAGGAGGTACAATGCACAGTCAGAATCCAAGGCGATATGTCGGACTGCTTTGAAATGCAGAAGGGACTGCGTCAAGGAAATTGCTTGGCGTGTCTTCTATTTAACATTGTCCTCGAATGTGCCATTAGAAGATCCCAAATTCAGATTGGTGGAACGGTTTTTAATCCTTCAGTGCAATTACTAGGGTTTGCCGATGACATTGCATTGGTTGGAAGAACAAGGGCAACTATACAAGATGCTTTCTTAGCGCTACAAGGAGAAGCAGCGAGAATTGGCTTAAAGGTCAATGAGATGAAAACAAAGTTTATGCGGGCCGACTCAAAGGGTGGAGACCACAGAGAGGCAAATGTAGAAATCGGAGGGATGAAATTTGAAAATGTCTCGGAATTTATTTACCTTGGCTCGCAAGTTAATATAAATAACGATATGAATCCTGAAATACAGAGGCGCATTATGGCCGCAAATAGAGCTTATTTAGGTCTCCAGGGACATCTCAAAAGTAGAGTGATCTCTGGTAAAACCAAACTGCTCTTGTACAAAACCCTGATCAGAACATTACTAACATATGGGTCAGAGTGCTGGACAATGTCAAGAGCCCAAGAAACAGCTCTTCTTCGGTTTGAACGTCGTGTGCTAAGAAGAATATTCGGCCCAATAATAAATATTAATCAGGAGCGACGAATGCGATCTAACAATGAGCTGATGCAGCTATATAACATGTGCTAAGGAAGTTGATGGATGAGCGGATCTTCGCCACAAGATGGGTAGGCAGACCGAGACTCAGATGGGCAGATGGATGGAATGAAATCCGACGCCCGAAGTATCCTTGGTGTCCACAACTGGAAGGCAGCAGCATTACTTGGAGAGGACTGGCGGTTGAAATTGCGGGAGGCCTTGACTCTGCTATAGTTGTAGAGCCATTCATGATGATGATGAATGTCTGTCCCTATCCGTGGCGCCCCCCTAGCCTCTACCCCAGTGTGCCGGGGCATTCAGTTTGAGAACTCTCGAGTTAGCATATTATTTTCTTAGGATTTAATGTATTATTGGTGGAAAAACCTAAGCTCCAATAGAAATTGATTTCGACAAAATCAAAGAAGTGAAATAATATGATTTGATTAATAACTTTAAACGGTTTCATGTTAAGATGGAAGCAAATATTCCATCTTACCCGTTACAAGCAAATATTCCGTTACCCGTTCTATTCATGGTTATACCATTAATTATTAAATTTATACAGATATGTTGAAACATACAAAAATTTCATCCAATGAAATCCATTTATTTGAAGCCAAACAATAAAGTTTACTATGACGTCACTTAGGTTTATTTTAAGTATTTAATTTCTTTCTGTATTTGATGAATATACATTTGTGAATATCTTTCAAACTAGAACGCATATTATTAAATTCGTTTATTTTTCTTATATTTTTAAAATTTACTATCGATATTTTACAACTTTTTAAAATTATATATACTTCACTGTTTATTTATTTAAAATATAATATTTTAGCGTCCAAAATATTTTTCACTAATGAAATATAAATCATATTGCTTTAGATATTTTAATAAGAAACAGTTTGATTTAGACGAATTCTTGAAAGTTTAGTGTTGGACGTATGGCAGCACCTATATTTGATTGCTACGAGAGAGAGCCTTTGTTGTGTCTCAGTCTTTGGTTACATTCGTGTGTTGCATGTTTGTATCTGAGTCCAGTTTAAATGACAAGAAAACCAAGTATTTACATGACGTTCAAGTTTGGAAAGCGGTAAACAGTTATGAACGGGCTAACTTTGAGTGAATTTTGTTGTATATTTTGTTGCCCACCTTGTCCGTCTAGAATTGCAGCTAAGTTAGCTTTTCTACCTCCTGAACCAACTTATAGTTTTTCGGACGAATCTTCAAATAAGTGTCAAATTACATTATCAGAAAAAGCAGAATGGCAATATTCTGAAAGAGATAAAGAAAACATTGAAGGTTTTTTCGCAAGGACATCAAGAGGAAATAAAATTGCATGTCTGTTTGTAAGGTGTAGTCCTAATGCAAGGTATACAATTCTATTTTCACATGGAAATGCTGTAGACCTTGGACAGATGAGTAGTTTTTATTTAGGATTAGGCACACGTATCAATTGTAATATATTCAGTTATGACTACTCAGGATATGGTGTGAGTACTGGAAAACCCTCTGAGAAGAATTTATATGCAGACATTGATAGTGCGTGGCATTCATTAAGGACAAGATATGGAATCAGTCCCGAAAATATCATTCTTTATGGACAAAGTATTGGTACAGTGCCCACTGTGGACCTTGCTTCGCGTTATGAAGTTGGTGCCGTTGTTTTGCACTCCCCACTTACCTCAGGGATGAGAGTTGCATTTCCTAATACTAAACGCACCTGGTTTTTTGATGCTTTTCCCAGGTTAGAAAATTTGTTTAGTTTTTAGAAATACCTATATCCCTTAATATTAATGGCTGTAATTAAATTTAATGTTTCCTATTCATTACTGCTATAAATATTTACTATTCTCTTTTTTTCGTTAATTATTATTTTTGTTATGCTTCTCTTAGCTTATGTCTATTTTAAAGAGTGATGTGGATTACAGATTGTTTATTAAATAATATTTATTGGGTTGATTTGTTTTTCACCATCAATTTCTCAATTGGTTATAGTTGAATGCTTTTCTGGTGTGATAATGTTAGTTAAGTCATTTTTAGGGACGTATTGAATTTTGCTTTATTATACTGAAACTTTGTCATTCCTTATCATTTTCATTCATTGTACATATTTGTAAAGATAAGTAAGTGTTAACAAATATAACTTTTTCACTGGAATGTTTGTAATTTTTCATTTACTCTTTATGCTGTATGCATGACCATTGCCAATAAATTCATTATAGTTTGACCAATAATTGCGACTATGGTGTTTTGTTGTTGTTGGCTCTTTGAGCCTAATTATCATTTTCCTGGAATGCTTTTGAGTATATAAAGTACTGCTTTCACAGAAGTTCCTGTAGTCATAGATTGTTTTCACCTTTCTATGCATTTGTAACATAGATTTCTAAGTATATCAAATATTTGTGAGATAGCAGTTTCATTTTGATTGTTTTTTTTTTCATTTTATTTTAGTACTGTTTAAAATATATTTATATGCTTTCTAACAATATACTAAAACAGTCCTAGACAACTGTTATTTATTATTTTTTAAAAAGAAAGTAGCGAAAATCTAGCGAGACATAGAAATAGTAAAGATTACTTCAATTATTAGCCTTAATTTAGTTTAATTGTTATTGAGAACAGAATCACCATAATCATCAATTGTTTTAGTGTCCTTTTAAATATGAATTTCAAGAATCAACATTTAGGTGCTGTGTATTAATTGTAATTGATGAACTTACAATCATTTTGTTGTAAATTTATATATACTGTTGTTTTCTGAAGAAAATGCTGTGGATTCTTTAATTTAGCAATTAGAATAAAAAGTTTTAAGTAAAGTTAAATTAATAATAGTGAATATAACAGTTATTTCTTACTTAATATGTTTTATTGGTTTTTATATGCCCATAACAGCATGAAAAATGTTTTTCATTTCTTAAGGGTTTGAAAAGAAGTATATTTATGGAAGATTTTTTTTTTTTTTTTTATGGCATCACTGATTTTTTATTTTCATTCCTTCATTCAATTTTCATTTCGAAAATGATTTGAAACCTCAGAAAGAATGATAATCATGTATGTTAAATTTCATTTTTTTAGTTCTCTAGTTTTTGCTTTGTAAATCTTGAAATGTGAAATATGCTGCGCTTGTTTCCCTTTCTAAGAAGTAAAATTTGAAGTGGATACACTTTTTCCCGTCCAATATTAACTTATTTTATGTGTCTGGTCATTTTCCATAAAATATCTGCTTTTATATTAGTGTTAAAAGCTTTCAATAAAAGGTGTACTTCTGTAAAGAAATCAATGGAACCTATTTTGATTTATCGTTAAAATGTTATGTTTCATTAGAATTATTCAAAATGAATAAGATTTTGTGATAGTTTGATACAATCAAATAATCATAATTCTGACTACCCAAATATACAACTGAAAAGATTGTGTGTTTTCTATAATTCTTTCAGTCATTCCTGAAGATCAGATTGGATACTGTTTTGAATTTATTCTCCAGTTCACACCACCTTTTTTTCATAGTAGTTAAGAAATTCCATTATCAACTTATATTGTTCAAATGATTAATTCTATTAAAAAAATGTCATTCACCCAAAAAAATTTATGTAAACGTAAACAAATACAATTAATGTCATGTTTATAAAAATATTGAAGAATTCTTCATTTCCAATCTTCCATGGTAACAATCTTTTAATCATTATTTATAAATTTAATTAGTCTGTTGAAATCTTTCATTTTTCTCTTGTGCTCTGATAAATGACACTACTCAATTTTTGTTTAAACATCTAACTAATATTATCAATTTATTATGAATCATTGTTTGATTTCCTTCTAACTTTTCCAATATTCTAACTTCTGTTAGATCACAATATATTCATGATTGAAAATATCTATTGAATGATTTGTTTAAGTGAAAGTTAAACCTTTTGTTAACTTCTATCAGCTAATAATTAAAGAGAATTGTTGAGTACAAATATAAAACTTTGAATTATAGAAGCTAGAAAAGATTATATCTTAATGTTTCCTTTGATACAAATTTCAATTATAGATGAGAATGTTTTATAATTACTTGTTTCCTTTATATTTTTTTAAAACAGCATTAGATGTTTTGTTTTAAAATCAGTAATTTTAATATATATGTTTCTATTTCTCTTATAGAAATTTAATGAGGTCAATAGGTTTATCTCTAATTGATAATCCTATTGATATGATTATCAAGCAAGCTTTATTAATTTAATTTATTTACTTCATCCTGTTTATTATCCATAAATGGGTTGCTTTTGGTTATATTTTGTTATTACCATTAAAGTGATAACTGACATTTGATTCAGTAATGGAGAAAAATACGATCTTATTGTGGGAATTTTAAAATAGCAGTAATTATTATTTTTCACAAAATGTTTGTAAAATTTATTTATTTCTCTGCTTACACTATTATGCTCTATCCACTAACGGGTCCAGGACTTAATTTTTTTTTGGGGGGGGGGAAGCTTCAGCCCGAAAGATTTTTTTTTGTATGTATATATTACGATTATTACTTCGGAAGAAAGAAAGAAACTAAGTACCTATATAAAGTGGTGTTTAAGTGATTCTTTAAATCCTATTAAATGTTATAAGACGAACAATCATATATATATATAAACATGGTTATATTTTATCATTTTGGGAGGTGGGGGGGAGGGGGTCCTTCAATCCGAAAGCCCTTATACCCTTATTGGTGGAGTAGTCTCAGATCATTTTCTTGTTTTGACGTTCTCATTTCTACCACAATACAATCCTTTTTTTTTCCCTTCCCTCTCCATATAAACATTTTATGCTAGTTCCAATCTGGGGTTTGCCCTAGCCCCTACTCTCATATTTCCAATTTCCATTATTTTGCTGCAATAGCTATTGTTCTTATGTTGATGTTCTTCTAATTCTTCTTTTCCATTTTTTTTAATTTATAATATTAATTTAAAATCATTCATTATTTTATAAACTAACTTAAAATTATATTTCAACTAGATTAGTCCTAGCTTAACATTCTTAGTTGCAGGAAGATACTGCCAAACAATGTGGCTTTTTTAAGACCTTTTTTTCCCGCCAACTTTTCAAACCCTAGTGTAATGCTGTGTTAGAAATTATTATGTGGCCATTTCATAATAAGTTATGACTGAATCAGCTTTGTAATCAAATTTAGGTTTATTATATTGATATAGTTTACAGATGGAGAATTATTTTAATTGACAGTAGTAATCAGATATAAATAATATTACAGTAATTAAATAAGTTATTAAAAAAACACATTCGAATTTTTTGTGATTAATAATGTTATTAATCTTCTTATTTTAGCATAGATAAGGTGCCAAAAGTTACCTCGCCTGTTCTTGTCATCCATGGAACAGAAGACGAGGTTATTGATTTTTCACACGGAGTTGCTATTTATGAAAGATGCCCAAGACCAGTAGATCCATTGTGGGTTGAGGTAAGTAGAATTCTTTTTTTTCTTTAACCCTCATCCTATACAATTATCTTATATAAGTACTTATGGGTCTTAGTTTCAGTACTTTATCTCCTTGCACTCTCATGCGGCAGTCCATGTTAGTTGCTCTCACTAATCATAGTAACTTGGGTAGGATTCCAAGTTTCTCCATCATTATATATAATTTTTTCCCCCACCATGCATCATAGATTCTATATGCCTTATAGTCCGCAAAGAGTATAGGTTTTACTTCACCTTCTCTAGGATCTACCTTCAAAAGAACAACTGGTCAGTAGTGGACTTTCTCCCAGTGAAGTCGCACTGCTGTCCAGCACCCTCTCTGCAAAGGATAACTGGTTGTTGATCATGTTAAAGAAAATTTTGTCTGCAGTTGGTATGTGATAGCCCTCTAGCTGTTGCAATCCACGCTGTTACTCTTTTTTCAGTAGGGACCTATTGTACCAGTCCTCCATTCTTCTGGTATTACTTCCTCTACCCATGATTATGCAGTCTCTTTATGGTTTCTGATCTCCCGTATCCTATGGAATTTGGCCTGCAAGCCATAAATTATTCCAGTCAATGAATGATTACAGAAGGAGATGGAAGAAATACAATTTTTGACTTTGAGATTTTATTCAGACTAGTTAAGAGGTAAACATTCTAAAACTGCTCTAAATCTTTATATAAGCCAATATTTATATATAAATAGGATGTATTATATTTATAATTAGCACTTAAATATGTAATATGTATTACATACTATATTTTGAAGTACATATCTATTTCTCTAGAAGTAATATTGTTGAAAACTATTCTCGATCCTGAGAGACCAATAAAACTACTTTTACAGTTCTAGTTATCATCCCTATAGAAATGCTATGACGATATATATGATGAAATACTGAAAGAATTATAATATGTTCTATACATTCTCTATTTCAAATGGTATAAAAAGCGCAGTTTTGTTAGGTGAACTTCAAACATTTTCCCAAGTGAGGTATGTCTACACTAAATCAATTAAATCCTGAATCCACTACTAATATACTTTTAATACACATGTTAACTCTAGATTTGATCCACAAAGCTATTGACGTAGAGTGACCAAACTTAACGATTTTCATTTAAACAAGTACATCCAAATTTTGATAAACATCTCATAAATAATTTTATTAAAATATTTTAGGTTTTATTTAATAAAACTCTAATATTTTAATAGGTTTAATCTAAACAAACTTTTTCTTAGGTTCTTCTATATTGATATTTATTTTCTATTATGAACCTTCAAATCTACTATTTTTGTTCAAATTCACTATTCTTGCACAGTTTATAACAAACGGAATATGGTTGGTTGGTTGATCAACTGTATTTCACATTACTTTCTGAGGCCTGATTTAGTTTTTACTATTTTTACTACCAGTGAAAGTTTCATGGAAACAAGAATTTTGAAAAAATCAATGGAAATAAATAAAACCTAACTGCACAATTGTAGTGAACTAGGGTTCTCAAACTGCCCCAAGGTAGTAGCTCAGTGTATCCACCATGGAATCACCACAAACTAAATTTTATCCGCTGTTCCAAAGTTACCCCATCTTACGGTATTATTACTGTATAATTATAACATTAGATTAAACATATTAAAATATTAGAGTATTGTTAAATTAAACCTCAAATATTTTAATAAAACTGTTTATGAGATGTTTATCAAAAATTCTATGTACAAATTGTTGTTAACTTTGGTATCAATCTATGTCTATAACTTTATGAACCAAATCTATGTTTAACATGTTTATTAGTATAACATATGTGTATTAGTAGTGGATCCAGGATTTAATTCAGTTATTTAATTATAGACATACCTCACTTGGGAAAATGTTTAAAGTTCACCTAACAAAATTGCGTTTTTTATACCATTTAAAATCGAGAACTTATAGGGCATATTGTATTTCTTTAACTATTATATCAAATATTGTCATTGCATTTCTACAGGGGTGGAAAATGGAAGCTGTAAAAGTAGTTTTATTGGACTCTCAGGATCGATAATTGTTTTTAACAATACCAAATAATATTACTTTTAGAGAAATAGAAATGTACCTCAAAATATACAGGCTTATATAAAGATTTAAAGCAGGTCACCAACAAAAAATACGAAAGTTAGGTTTTTTGTATAAAATCTCGGAATTTACACATTAAATTATAATTGCTTTAAATTTTGTAGGGTTGTAGATAAGAAAGTAAAATTATATATATTCTTAACAAAAATTTAATGCTCAACAACCTTCTTTCCCATGACTTTTTCATAGATTGAAGATAAAAAGAGTTGGATGGTAAAACAAAGACAGATACAAACAGGAGGCAAAAATTTGTTTTTTTCAAAATCAGGAATTATTGAGCATGGTTATCTCAGAAACTGTTAATAAGTGTCATGCTGAGAAAAAAGTGGTCTTCTGGGTGGGTGCCTCCCTCCCCCTCACCTCCTGGGAGTGGGAACTTTTGGTATGTTTACCTCTTAACTAGTCCGAACAAAGTCTGAAAGTCAAAATTTGTGTCCCATCCATTTCCTTCTAAACCTCTTTTTGAGTGACTGGACTAAATCCTCGGAGTTTTGTTATTTGTATATTGATATCATGTATATTTATCTTACCTGATGGTTCTATATTATTGTCAGCATGCCCATGCTTTTCATATTTTAAGCTATCATGTTCGAAATAATTCTGATTATGTTCTGTCCATGTTCATGGAATACCCTGCTCTATATCACACCAGACCGTCTTCTTCGAATTATAGATCCTAGATGTTTATGCTTTTGTCTTCTCCAAATGCAGGATGAATAGGAGGCAGGGCTATTGCATCTCTCTGAGGAGATAAGTGTGTGGGACACTTTTTTTATGAATAGGACATATAATCATTGCCTCTTTTACTTGGCTGGTATTGATTCTTCTTACCAGATCATTAAAATGAAATTATGAAGGTTTTATAATTTCCTGTCCACAAATGTTTTGCTTAGAGGCTATTAGCTTTATGGTTTCTAAGCCAGTTCATTGCTTCTTGAAACCTCTTCTATTCTACCAGTTCAAGTTTCCTTATTTCCTCAGTTACATTATTTCTTTTTCCTTTGTTCTCTGATACAGAGATACAGCAGAGAAACTAATTATATTCTCAATTCTGCTTATTTTTCTATCATTATCTATTTTAATATAGGCTCAAGGATTTATGTTTTTTTAGGTTGTTTCTTACATTGGCATGTGTGGTGCTCCAAATTTTCTCTTGACACGATTAGTAGATTGTATCCATTGAAAGGAAGCAATGGCTTAAATACTACTTCTTTAGTTTACAAATATCTTAAAGATTACTTGTCTTCCCAGTTCATCCAAGAATTTCTTTCTCATTGCTCTTTTCGCGTCCCAATAGGAACATCGCTCATACAATGTGCAATGTGAACAGATGAGTGGAGTTCCACAAGGGTGTGTCCTAAGTACAACTCTATTCCCCTTGGCCATCAGTGACCTTGGGTTAAATCTACCACGTGGAGTTAAAGTTATGCTATTTGTCGACGATTTTGCAATATTATACAGAGGAAAATATATCCCATATATTAAAAAGAAACTCTTAAGGTGCACTATGTCAAATTGACAGTTGGTCTAAATCATCAGGATGGCAATTTTCCACCGACAAAAAAAAAATGTGTACCTTTATCTAGGAGATGCTAAACTACCATACACCAATAACTGTAGATTCTTGGGATTTTTGTTAGATAGGCGTCTGTCTTGGGAACATCACCTTAAGTCATTGAATGAAAATTGTGCAAGAAAATTTAAGATAATAACGGTACTATGTGGAACAAAGTAGGGAGCGGACAGGAATACAGTGCTAAAAGCATTAATAGGTTCTAAGTTAGATTATGGCAGTTTTGTTTATGGCTCCGCTCATAAAAGTAGTCTTGCTTGACTCAGTGCACCACATAGGAATGCGCCTAGCTACTGGAGCCTTTAGGACTAGTCCAACACTTAGTCTCTGCGTCGATTCAGGCCTACCACCACTCCTTTTCAGAAGACAAAAATTAGCAATAAATTAAATAACAAAGTTGTATCCACAAACCACACACCCTGCCTAAAAATAAATTTTTGAATATAAATTTCCTTCAAAATTCCTATAAAAGAATAATGCAACTATGCCATTAGCAGAAAGGATGATGTTTGCAATATGTAAGTTGAAACAGATCAACTTAAATATAATTCAAAATGATGTACCCCTTTGAACTTTTATACAGCCTAAATTAAATCTACTGCTCTCCAAATTTAATAAAATAAAATATGGAACCTGCAATATACAAAGAACTACTCCATAAAACAATTAGCTCTCTACCAGAACACTTACTAATATTCACCAACGATTCTAAATCGGACACATCAACAGCATCTGCCTGATGCTACCTATAAATGTAAACTACTTTCACTTTGTTCCATATTTACAGCTGGTTGTGGTGTTAGATTCTTCGAGTGCCCTTGAAGCCATGAACAACATGTGTATCCAGAACACATAGGAATATATACTATTTTGGGGCTCATAAAACAGCTAAGTAACATTGGAACATTAAAACATTTTTTTTGGTCACCTGGTCATGTAGGCATTGGTGGTAATGAAATGGCTGACAGAGCAGCAAAAGAAGCTCATCTTGAATGCGTCCGAACTGGCACGACTCCTGAAAGAGGCCATACACCAGGATTGGCAGACACTTTGGAACAATAGCCCTCCAAATGACAGTGGTCCATCCATATCTTCGAGAGTTGTGCCTTTTAGATTAAAGAATTAATCATAAGGGGAATACCAGCAAATACACCGGCTGCTTTGGGTAATGATGAAAAAATCTTAGGCAAAATAATATGTTTTCTCTCTCAAGAAGGAATCTCTGAACCTTTCACACAGCACTACCCACCTCTTTTTTTTCCTTTTTTTTTTTTACCTAATGTTGAAACTTTAAATAACTAAACTTCAATAACCATAAAAAACTTTTAACCTTGAAGTGCATTTTACTTTTTTTTAATTTAATCTAATTCTTAATATTCATAACCAAAAGATGTAACAATATATAATTTTAATTAACAGTATTGATGGCCAACAGGTTTTAGGCCTTTACTATACAACCAATCTTAAAGACTACTTGATATTTTATTCAGGGAATAAATCAGTTGGTTGTTGCACCACACTTGCCTTATAATATGGCCAGGCTATGTTAGCCATCTTCACTCTCTAGAGCCTTCATGCTCCTTTTCCTCTCTGATTTAACTTGAAAGTTTTTGATTTGTTATCTGGTGCTACTTCATTTATTAGTCATAAAGTTATTTGGTAGCCACCGTTTACCATTGGCAATTAAGTTATTTGGTAACACCCCTATCAGCAAAAATGGGCTTTTGGATTGATTTCTGGCCGTCCTAGAAATGGTCTTAAGCATATATAGATCTTAAGGTAAGAGGCATCTATCGCCAACTAGAAGGCACTTTAGTGATTGAAGAACTCCGATTTGGTGGAGGTGATGGACGAGGTAACCATGATCAGTTAACATGTGAAATGCTGCTACATTAATATATCATCTAAAAGTAGAATTTCTCTGGTAACACCGTCTGTAATAGTTGGCATTGACTGAGATTTGCTATTACTTCCATCCATTACTGATTTTGCTTTTTGTTGAAACTGTCAGTCTTGGGGACCACCTCTTCTCACATTGAACACCCTAGTTGAAAATATTGTAAAATAAAAATGTTAGGATTAAATTTATTGTTTTTCATTTGTATTGCAAGGAAAAAATAAATATCTTGGCTGACTTATGATCTTATTTTATTAATACATGCCATTTTCCCTGGTATTTTAGGTACAATAGTAACGATAAGTTATATCTATACTTTAATATAAGAAGTTATTAGTTTAAAAATGTCTAAATTTAAATTTAATACATTGAAGATATTAACTGTTATTAGTATAATCATTTCAGTAATAAATACACTATTTTTGTAATGAAATTATATCAGATAATTCTTTATTATTATGTGATTTTTCATTATTTAACTCTTTCAATTAGTCTAATATATAAATTTTTTGAGAGGATTTATGAGGGAACCTATACAGATGTATGGAAAATAGTAAGTAATGAGACATATTCATATTTTGAAAAATCAAAATATTGAAAGATTTATAAAGTTTCGAAAAGTCAATCAGCTTTAACATGAGTAGCAAATGAGTAATGTAAAAAAAAAAATCGGAACAAAAAGGAACGTAAACGTAAATATTAGCTTGGCAATGTACTGGATGATCTCAAAAGAATGACAATAATGGAATGGAGAATAAAATTTCTTAATTGACAATACTGATAGAGGATTGTGAGGGAGTCCAAGGTCCATCTTGGATTGCAGAGCCTCATATATGAGATCTAAAATTTAATGAATTTCTTATGTTTTTTTTTTTCAATCCTACAAAATGTATATACTTTATGTTTTAATTTCAAACTATTTTTCATTTAACTTTGTTTGATGTGATGTAAAGAGAAACTTATTCCTCTAAGAGTAGGGGTTCAGATGAAGTCAGGAGATGATACCATATCTTTGACTGCCACATTGCACTAATGCACTTTATTCCCTGAAATCAGCAGTAAACTGGCAGCAGCCACTTGCAACTACTGCTGTAAGCTGTACCAGTGAAATTCTATCTTAAGGATCCTTGATAGATCATGATGACAATCGATCATCTCCCACTTCTTTCCAACAGCCAGATATCCCTAAAAAATATCCATTTACTGATTACAGAATTATGTTTTGCTTTTCTGAAGTGCAGGGAGAGTGGGCAGTGCTGGTTGTAAAAGGGACATTCCCAGTTTTGCCTATTTGTCGGCTAATTTTTTCTCACTAATCTTAAGATTCTGGTTGGAAGGGTTTCAAACAATTGTTTTGTTGAATTTGGTAGCCAGGAAGTTTTTACCAATTTTAGTTTGACTGATACAGAATTAATGGTGAGTACCTCTCCATTTAGATTTGGAGTAGGATATAACTGAAATGTCTATTTCCTGATGCAGAAGGGGTTAGTGTTGGACACAATGATACAAATTCTAAGTAAATTCATGGTTTTATATTTTCGATTTTCACTATTCTCCATTTTGTTGCAAGACAGTATTTGAAATATCAACATATATTTGGGTTAGTTTAACTTTATTCTTTGGTTCATTATCTTTTTGATATTGTGTTTATTCATGTATCACAGAAATAGGTTGGTTAATAAAAGCTTATTTAGGGTTGGGGGAATCTGATATGGTTTACTGACTAACATATATCACGGCTGCAAATGGTTACATTGTCTATTTTTATGAATATTTTCTTGTTAACTGTCTCCATGTTTTGTTTTTTCTCTTTAAACTTAAAACCTTCAGCGAACATTTGCTATGATTAATTAGTATCATTAATACGTGTGATTATTAGAAAGTTATTAGAAATTTTTTAAGAACTTATAAAAGAAATGTTCTTTCTTCTTGGATTCATTTTTATTTTGAAAAGTAATTTCTCATCAGTGTTGATGCTGTTGCTCATAAATATAAGAAGAAACCATCATTCTGTTTTCCATCATAGTTGCAGATGGAAAAAAAAAAAGAATATTTCTGTTTGTCTTATTTGTTTTTGTTTTTTTTAATTCTATCTGTTATAAAGTTATTTCAACTTAACAACTGTTTCAGGGAGCTGGTCATAATGATGTAGAGTTGTATGGTCAGTATTTGGAACGACTAAAACGGTTTGTTACTGTTGAGCTAGTCAACTGACAGTTACTCTGGGGCGATGACCTCAACCCATCAACTCTAAGCTCTGCAACCAATAGCTCAGTAACAGAAAAACTCCTTTAACGTAAAATCCAGCCTGGATTTAATTTCTGAAGTAATAAATTCATTTGGAATGGTTAGGAAAAAAATTTCGAGAAGCTATACTATATTTTTATAAATATAAATTATAGAAGTTATAAATAAACTTTGGCTTATTTTTAGTTTGTACAATAGTAGTTATTAAATAATAGCCATTATAGGCAGGGAATTATGCTCTTGTGTATATTTACCTATTTGTGTAAATTCTGAATTTATACTTATTAAAAACTTTTTATATAAATTGATAATTTGTTTTATAATATTTGTAAGGCTGAAAAATAAAATATTTTAGGTGATAATTATTCATTGATATATTAAGTATTTATTCCAATTTATTGTTGTGCTAAATTGGCTATTTCTATTTTGTTATTTAAATGTCTTATCTTTTGTAATTATTAGATTTTATTATTTTTTAACGTTATTTATTTCTTTGAATATTTTGTAAAATTGGAAAAAATTCTCTCAACTTCTACCATATTAAAGTAACCAAAATTTTTAAATGTTCATATCCTATCCCTCAGGATTTATTAATAACTTTTATATATTTTTTTCATTCCTTCCTTTTTGAACTGATTTATTAGAATGAGCTCTCTGATTGTAATTTCTTGTACTTGCTTGATTGTAAATTAATTATCTGTTATTTATATTGTTTAAAAAATTTGAATATTTTGAAAGGGCTCAATAATAATATAATCATCTTAACAATTACATTTATTAAAAATTTGAATAAAAAAATTAAATATAAAATGTTTTGTATTGATTGTTGTAATGAAGTCCTAGTCCCAACAAATTTAGTTATATACTGTTGGTACTTTGATATTTCCTTTGAATATAATTATGATAGCTTCATAATTTTATACTTAAGAGTAAATGATGTTTTGAATATTTAATTAAAATTTGTTTCCTCTCTGGTATGACCTTACGAAAAAAATACATTTATGTTGTCATTTTTCTTGAAGTCAATTAACTTGGTGATTATTCTATCATTTTAGGTTTCAAGTTTTAATAAATATTCGAATACTATAGTATTTTTCAACCATAGACAGTATTTGAACTGTATTTTCATAAATATCAGAAATAGCATTTAGTAGAAAACCTTTTGATCAATTTTATAATTTATTTAATTTTTTTATTAACTATAACATTTGATTGACTTTTTAAAATCATTAATATATATTACTTTAATTATTGTTATATACACATATGTGTATACATATATATATTATACGAAAGAATGGAGGGTATGATATATTGGCCAAAGAAATACGAAACTACAGGAAATGATTTTATTAATATCTTTAGAGATAAAGAAATATATGAAACATCTAAATACATAAACACAGAATCTTCGAACAAACTTAACTGTGCTAAATATAGAACAATATCAGTGCAATACAAGACCAATACAAGTACATTCCTTCATTTTAATGAAGTGTACTAATGGTATTTTGTAGGTTAAACTAACAAACCACGTATCTCATTTGAAAAATTTGTATAGCCAGTGATTTGGTAGTTAAGTTTTAAGTATGTATTCAGTTCAACTTGACTAATCTTACTCTTTATTTATTTCACGAGATGCAATCAATGTGCTTTTCATGCCGAGATTCTTTTTTAGTTGAAATTAATAGGTTAATTTATAAAATGTTTCAATCCAATTTGATAAATATTCCATTTGCACAAAAACACCTTTTAATGAAGTCAGCTCTTGCTAGTACTCAAAACTCTTGATGGGTAAGTAGGTTTATTGTAATTACCTGGAATTTTTCAAGGGATGTTTAGATTATCTGAATCATACATTTACTTTTGAACATATCAAATTAGACTCCACCAGTATTTAATTTTCATTATATTTTTGTTGGAATTTATCATTTATATTACAGAGGGGATACATATTAATTGTTTATTTGGTGTCAATTTAATTTTAAGCTAGTAAAAACGACAATAGTCAATATTTTATTAAAGATAAAATTTGATATTTTTTTTTAAATTATTATTTTGCATCCTTGAGAGTGAAGCTTATAATTTTTTTTAATGTGATAAAAAGTATTAAACAAAAAAGAACTATTTATAATTTGTCATCATAATAATATTTGTTCCTTAGCTACCGTATAAGGTCCACTTGACCTTTTAAATTATAATTATAATATATATGCAAAGCAAAAACTAACTAACCCTATTCAAAAATAATTTGTTTTCTTTTAAATAACTAAATACTGCAATATAGCCTGATTTCTTGAGTTTCATTGTTGGTTTTAAAAAAGACCAATTCAACCTCATATCATATGCTATTTATTGTGTTGATAAACAATTTACGAATAATTTCACTGTAATTTCCTTTAACCTCATCGGTTATTGATATCATCTGTATGAAGCTATGATTATTTCCTTTTTAAGATTTTCGAACCGGGAAAGATAATATTTAAAATGTATACTAAAATGTATGTTTCACTATTAGTGCATATCTTGGCATTTTATTTATTATACAAGAATAACTATTTAGTTATTCAGGAAAAGCTGTGAAAGAGAGATATTATATAAAGTCTTATCTGGAAACTACGTAGTGCTGCAATCCTTGAAGTTCTATTGCCTCCTGCAACAATTGACCCACATCTTGTTGGCTATCTAACTATAAATTAATATTATTCATTAATTAAAATATTCAGTTAAACAGATTATTTTATCATTGAAACATATTATTTTAGTTTACATTTATCTTCCCATTTTGAAAATTGTAAGCTCTAGCATCTTTTAATTTAATTTTTCATGAAAAGTTCATAATGTTTTATATTTTAGAGTGATATTTTGGTAACAAATAGCTTTATATAAAAGGTTCTTTTTCTTCCAAATGTCAATATACTTTTTTTTTTACTCAAATAGTTTTAGCTCCAATTAACAAATTGCTATGAACAGTAAAGACAGAAACAGACCCAAATATTTTTTTATACTTTTTAATATATCATATTAATATTTATATTTCTCTTTCTTTCAACATTATTACTTTAGTTGTTTTAAAGAGAATTGATTTTTTTTTTTTCTTTTACTAATTTTTACCTATCTTATACCATCTTTTTTTCTAAAGTTATTTTGTTTCACCCTATTATTTTTGTTTTATTTATTTTAATAATTATATTTCATTTTTATTAATGTATTTTAATGGTTTCAGTTACAAAGTTAAATTGATCCTGATGATTTTTATTTATTTTATTATTTTGATCGTTCTTTCTGATAAATATCTTTACTGGTTGATGTTATGTGCGTTGACTAATGAGAATGTATGTTAGTTCATTGTTTGATTTTCAAAGTAAGCTTAACATTAACCCAGTTCATTGAGTAAAGCTGTTCAGGTTATTATCGATGATTTACTAATTCTTGAAAATAATTATATTTCCTAAAGTTAACTATGATTATCAAGTGTTAAATTAATTTATTTTAATATATATATATAAAACAGTGATTATAGTTTGAATACATTGATCTTTCCTTAAAGTTTTACTGTATTTATAATGTTTTTGTTTTTTTATATTAATGTTTTAGATATTATTGTTTTATCTCAAACAAAACTGGGAAATAACATTAACGTTTAGTTACTAGGAATAACCTATATTAAAAGAAAATTTAATTAGTAATTTTAAGTTTATGATATATTAAGTGTTGGCAAGGTCTGATAACTGTGGGAATGAATGATAATGAAATTGAAAGAAAAAAAATGAATTGCAGCACTATATAACTTAGTGTATTTTCACTAGGTGATGCCTTAGTTTATTCATTATTCATTAAAACCAGGCTTGAGTTTAAAAAACATAATATGTGTTCGAGAAGTTGAATGTGCCTACGAAGGTTTTTTAATGAAGGATTTAAAATATGTTAATTATAATATACTTACAATCATTTGCTTGCCATTTTGTTTTGTACAAATTGCTTTCAACATAAATAAAACAAATGATTATGTTATAAACTTGAATTTATTGCTTAGCAGAAAATTTTTATTCAAAAATTGATTTTCAATCAAACATTTTTGTTCTTACTTTAACTTCCTCTGCATTTTATATTGTTAACTGTCAGGAAATTATAAATGATTTAAATACAGAGTATGGATTTTTAGTAAATTGTAGAATTATTTTTATTTCATTATGAATTTTTAATGTTATTAGGAAGAATGATTCTATTGAGAACTTTCTTACTACATTGGTGTATTTAAAAAAAAAAAAGTCATGTAAATTTTTGTTTATTAGCACTTTGCGTTATGATTTCAGATTTTCATTTTCAAGTCATATTGCTTTTTGGCTTGTTAAAGTTCTGAAGAATTTTATCATTTACCTTGTTGCATTGGTTATTATTTTGTCAGCAATCAAAATTAAGTCTGATAGTTGAATCTTTAATTAAAATTTCCTTCCGGGTACTTTTGAATGCTTCAAAACACTGTTTTGAATGCTTCAAAACACTGTTTTGAAGTTATTTTAGCCTTATTCCTGCTGTACATTTTGAAAGTTAAAATATTTTTGATGAATGTCTTTTTTTGTACAGTTAGTTTAACATAAACGTTATGCTAGTAAATTGACCAGTAGTTCTCAACATTTTTTGGATCAATTTGAAATTCTATAGATTTTTGTAATCCACTTCTTTACAGTTCAGAAGTGTAATTATTATATTTTAATCAAATACTCTAAAGTATACTGAAACATGAACTATGTGTGTGATCATGTGTTGTACAAAATACATCACAACCCCTGTGGAAGTAGGCCCATTAAGAAGCATTGATGTAGATGTTTTAAATATAATTATTAAGTCTATGTTGGTATGTAGACTTATTTATTAAATTGATTTATTTATGAAATATTAGCTAATAATGCAATACAATGAATGTAGGATAAATATTTTTACATTGTAACCAATACTAGTTATGTAATATTGCACTCTTTTATTACTAAGAAATACTATTTTAATTTAAATGGTTTTGACAATTAGTATTTATTTAACAATTTGTCTTAACATATAGCCATTTTAAACAAGCGATAATTATCAGAGTGTTTATGTTATGCTTAGGATATGATGCTGTAACATATCATAGTCAGATATTGATATTCATTCACATTATATTTAATGGTGCTATTGCTATTACATGTAGGTTGTGACTTAATGAATCAGGAAAGTGGAATACACATTTTAAGTGATAAATTTTTAATAAGATATATTATAACTATTTTACTTAAATAGAACCTTTTAGCTTATAATAATTCATTTATATAAATATTCTAAATAAATTATAAGCATTATTATCATAAGTATGTAATATATCATATTGCATTCACTAGTATAATTTATTCAATTATAAATGGCTATATGTTAAAACATTTATACATCAAGATTTACTATTACATGAGACAGGTTTCACTAATATAATATTCATCAATATGAAATAATGTTAAACTGAAAAGTAAGAAATCTTTAATGGTTTCTCTTTTTGAACTGAATCTTTAATTCATATTTTCATTTGTTTTGTAATTGATCATAAATAAGCATATCCTAATCTCTAGAGCAATATGAGTCATTATCAATGTTCTCGTCTGTATAACTTTGTTTACTTGTTTTCTTCTACTTTTCTCCTGTTTATAGTTTTTATAACATGTTACTATTTTATTTGATTTAACTTTACTATGAATTATGTTTTACTAGATTCAGTGAAATGTTTAATTATTTGTTAAATGATTTTATTTAGCTTTCTTATTTATATTCTGAAGTTATGTTTTTTAGTATCATCTATTGTTTATGATATTTTTTTAGCTCTCATCTAATAAATTGAAAAGTTTATAAATTATTAATCATTCAGTTTTTAAAAATAACATTTTTTATGATCAATAAAAATATTTATTTTTAGTATAAACTTATAATTTGGATTATTTATGAAAATGGTTTCATTTCAGTTTATTTGACAACTTTATATCAATTATTAAATGATTTGCTATTAATGGGAATTATAATTACTGTGATTTTATTTGTTATGCCAAATATATTTTTTTAATGTAGTTATTTCTTTCTCTAAATAATTTGGATTCAAAGAACCAAGCAATATCTGCAAGTGATTCCACTTGATTTGCCTGTGATTTGAATAGATACGCTTTAGCGATTTACATAAATAAAGTATCAATTTATGTAATGAGAATGTGTTTAGGTCAATGTATCGAAGTTTGACTTCCTTTTCTCTTTTAGATATTAAATTGTATTAAATGATGCAGATAATATGATCTCCCAATTGGTTTAGTATTAAACAAATGTGCAGACTTAATAGTATCTAAATATTTTAATTGGATGTTCCTTCTATATATTGCTGAAGGATAGTATACTCCTTTATTCTGAACTTTTTTAATGATTGAATATAATTTTTAACTTAAATGTTATATTATATTGTTTATTTCATTGTATTTTCTATACTGTTAAGATAATTTATTAAAATATGACTTGTTAATAAATGTAGACTTTAGTGTTTTGTGCCAATTCATTTAATTAGAATATTAAAACTAAGTAAGTAGATTTTGTTAAGTTTGATGATATGTCTTTTCTTGTGGGTGTACACAATAGCAATACTTTTTATCTTTATTATATTTGATTTATATTTTTTTTACTTTCTTGTAATTATACTTTTGCCAAAATAGTTTAAAAACATATTTCATTTTATATGATTTAGTTTAACCTAATCAAAGTAATATAGCCAATTTAAAAAAAAAAAAAAAGAAAATAAGTTGACACTTATGTTCTTTTTTTTTTGTAATTGCTGTTTAACTTATAAAAATTTAAGTAATTAGTTCAAATTTTTCTAATATATACTGTTTTTTTTTTTTTTCAAGAAATCGAATTGTCATCCAATTCATTCATAATAATCATTAGCACTGAACAGTTCAGTGTTAATTTTAAGTTAAATTATTTTTTAATATACTTGCATATTTTGAAATTTAGGTTTATGTGCATTTATTTTGCAATTATCTGTTCAAAGAAAATTTTTAGAAAAACTTCTAAAATGTGTGTAGTTACTGTTCTTTAATGTTATCATGATATCATCGAAAGAGTATTTCATTACTGGAAACTTTGAAAATAATCTTAAGTAAATTGATTTTCTCAAATAATAAAATCATATTAAACAAACTTTCCATAAATTTGTTAATAAAATGATGGCAAAAGTGATAGAAAATATATTCTAAATTATTTATGACATAAAAAAAACAAATGGTATGTGAACGCTTTGAATTTTATATTTGGAATGATAAATTAGTTTTTAAAAAAACCGATACCTAATATTCTATTCACAATTTCATTAACTTCACACGCTACCTACTGTGTTTGAAGTTCGTGTGTTGAGTGCCTCACAAGACATAGAATTTCTTACTTCAGTAACTGAAATATTAATTATTAGTTTTAGTGTAACAAATAAAAAAGTCAGTTATAGATTTTCTTGTTCTATTCCTAGTTTGTATATAATGTATTTTGTTTTATTATATCATTTGATTGATGTATTATATCTTTTGATGCTTTAATTACTGTAATTTTTATAATAATGTGTATATAAGAGTTAACATATGTACACATTAAAGAGTACATGCTAAGAATATATGCACTTGTGTGTGTATATTTGGTTGTATAAATAAAGTTTTTACTGAAGAAAAATTAACCATTTCTTTAAAATGATTTATATTACCATTTATGTCGGTAAAATTTTAAATATTGCCTTAATTCTTGGCACTGGTGATAGTCAAGGAAAGGAAGAGAACTTCCTTTAATTTATAGAATGAAACTATACAATAAAAACCTAGTGTGGTGCACACATCTTACAACTTCCACTTACCACCCTACTTTCAGTAGAAGTTAATGTTAAATACATTAATATACTTTAAGAATATTACTTTACTAAAAAAAAAAATAAACTAACTATAATTAATAATTGCATTATTTATTTTTGGTGTGTCAAGCTGAAAAATAATTAAAATTTCTATGGAAAAAATTATTTTTTATTCAATAAAGTAGAAGTAAAAATAATTAGTCATTACATTTCCGTCACACTCCATTACTTTATATATTAGTTATTAAATTTTCTAAAATATTTAACTTTTAAATGGTATATTATTCATCTATATTACTACTCATATTTCCATAAATTTATTTTCAACCTGCAAAAATATTTTCCCTTTTTTTCTTCTTTATTTAATTATCAAATTATTTCATAGTTTAGATGTATTTTAAAAAAGTTATTGGAAATGGTTAATTACTTAAAGTAAACAAAATCTAAGATGCTTTAGAGGAAGAAATTTTGAAAATTCAGAATTTAAGGCTTGTCAGACTATTTCAATGATTACAATACCTAGCTGATATTAAAGACCATTAGATTGTACATTGGTTTAACAAATTTAATCCAAAATGTTTGAGCCATTTTCAAGAAAATCATAAAATAAATTATATTAAGTGGCACTTCTGATAATTCAATTTCAGTAAAAAAGTTGCTGCAAGGTTAATGCTTATACCTAATTTCACCCTCGTAGAATGTTTTGTTTTGAGCTAGGCTGTTCCCTTACAGACATGCACACATAGACTTTGTTAGATAGATAGATGAAAATTCATATTTTAGAGCTTTTTGAGGGCCAAAAAATTATTATCAAATTTGTTTCTCCCAGAAAAATTCTTTACTCTTAAACACTAGGCTAGTTTAGAAAAAAATATTATATTTGGGGATAAATTTGACAAACCGACATAGCAATATGGGGCCTAAGAAATTTTTAAGGAGGAACTAAGTTGATATTCCTTGAAGTAACTTACTTCAAAGAAAACGTGATGTCACTAAGAAATGCTTGTTAACACAGAGATATTTGACTAAAGACTTTGTATTACTCCTTTCAAAAAGTTAAAGATTTTTGAATTGGAAATACTTTTGTAATAAAAAAAAATCCTATAATTTTTTAAGTGTTAACAGTCTTGTCAAGATTTTTCATCAATATGTTAAATAAATAATAGTTCTACTAAAACTTGCCCCTCTAAATTGGAGCCATAGTTTTCTTTCTTGTGAGCCAACAATTGTTGATTGAAAGCAACCTGTAAAAGAATTACTTTTACAGGTAAAGTATCTTAAAATTTTTAAAACAAACCGGCTCAGCCTTTGTAAATTGGATTTTCCTCATTCACTTGTTTCCTAAACTGCTTGCCTTTATAGTCTTTTATATTTGTGCCACTTTTGATTAGATGTTTGTGCAATTTTATGGTTTTCAATTTGAGTGTTTCAAATAAGATTTTTTTTCTATTTGTTTGTGTTTGATCAGATTAACTAAATTTGATTTTTAAGAAATTCTATTATTGGTGTTTCGTAAAATCTCCAAAAAGTATAGAAAATGTAGTTCCCATCGGGATCTCCATTATCCCAACAACAATAAAATTGGTAATTACTCTGCGATATTTAGCTATAAGCGATTCATTTACTGGTATGGTGTCTTTGTTTATGTTATTATTGATTAATAAATCAATTTCCATAATGATACCCGAAGTGTATGAGCTTCTGTTATTCCTGATTACATTGAGTTAAAGTAATTTCATTCATTTTCATATGCAAAACCATTTTTGACATTTCATCATTTTTGATTTGAGAATCTTATCCCGGTACTCTTTGTTCTTGATGTACTACAATGCAGAAATAACATTCACCATTTAAATTAGCTGTATTAAAAGCTCTTTTATCCTTATCATATTTACTATATAATATAATAAATCATGAGTTATATTATAAGAATAATAAAATATTAATCTTCTAAATAATAACCTACCTGATGAAATTTTACCAACTGGTTTTCCATCACTTGTTGGCAGTTTAAATTTCACCATCCATACTTAGCAATGTTTTCTATTAAAATGAAAAAAAAATGGATACAAGTAACGTTCTTTGATGCCAGCCGCCTGATGTCCTGTATTCGGCTAACGTTTAGTTTTTTGTGGGATACATACTGACACCACCAGTATTAATATGTTACCATAATTTTCCATTCGGTCCTGTATTTTGAGGGCAAAGCCAAACATTTTGGCTAGATGATATCTTCAAAAATAAAACCCTCAAATCCCGAGTCAGCAATTAGGGATCCTCCTGAACAAAACAGAACAGGGTCTATTATGTAGATCGCTGGAGATCCGTGGGATACCAGTGTGAGCAGGCAAGACACCCACGGCTCTGATGACCAGTATAGCCGCGGGGTTGGGCATCAAGCTTGGAGTGGATGTGGTGCAACACCGCAAAAGCAAGAAGGAAGACCCGCAATCGCTGCCGGTAATATTACATTTCGTCAGGCAGTCAGTGAGGGACGACCTGATAGCGAGAAGAAAAGTGAAGAGGGGCTTCTCGACGCGTGATATCAGGTGGCATGAAAACGACTGCCACCAAATTTATCTCGGCGAGGAAATGACCCCAACAAACAGGCACCTCTACTGGCTTGCCCGGCAGAAGAGAGCTGCTGGGAAGATAAGATACGTATGGTTCGCTGCCAGCAATGTGCGATGCCGAAAAGATGACAGCCATCAAGTAATCTTGATTAATCAGGCATCGGATCTTGACATTTTCGCCTGACTGTACAGGTTTCATCATTTCTTCTCTTTCATTAAAGTATTTTTTATCTTAATTGGTACTCAAATAATTTTGAAGATTTTGGTTAAACTGTCTCATAGCTCTTGCTTACTAATTTGTTTATTTTCTTACTCACTTATTTTTTCAATATCGACTTTTGTTTTCCTTATTAATACTTATTTCAGATGTCTTTCAGAATATGATATATGCTTCATTCTCTCTATGCTGATTTTGGACTGTTTCCCATCAAATCCTCCCCATGTCTAGTATCCTAATCACCTCTCACGTTAACTCATAATCCCTTCCATTACGGTGAATTCCTGCAGTGCTTTTCTCAAAACTTTTTTCACATCATCGCAATCTCAGAAACCTGGCTCAACAAACTCTATATACTGTCTCCCTACCTAATTACACCTTCATCCGTCACGACCGGGCCAGTTGGATTGGGGGTGGGGTAGCAATATTTTTCTCGTATTCTAGCAAAATTGAAGTCTCGAATCCTTGATTGCCCCCCTTTGAACATCTACAAGTTGAGTACCTACTAGTAGAAATTACCTGTAATAATTTCCCTTTCCTTTACACAGTGATCTATCGTCCTCCCCTTGTTCCATTTGATCCGTCCTTAGAATCAACCCTACTCAACATTGTTCCCCTTTATCCTAGAATAATCATCGCCAGTGACCTCAATACCAATTTCCTTTCTAATTCTAAAGACAAAACCTATCTATAAAACATATTTTTCTCCCTTCATCTCTTTATTGTTCCTTTTTACCCTACTCACCACACCTGCAAGGCCGACACTTGGTTAGATTTCTTCATTATAGACTCTGACCAAAATCTCCTCTCCTTTTCTCAACTGCCAGTATCCTTCTTATCGTCTCACGACCTGATCCTAAAACATATAATATCCAAACCCCTCTGATTCATCCGAGAACCGTCACTTTCCGTCAGCTAGAAACTCTGACCCATGAAAAAATACTACCTGATCTTGAAACCTTAGACTTGAACCGAATATATTCCTGCTCCTCCGATCATCGACTCCATGGTTGAGATCCTGACTTCCAATCTCCTCGTTATCCTTAACACCCATGCTCCCGTAAAAACCTCAACCTTTCGTTTGACAACCGGCCTGCACCTTGGATGTGCCAAGAAATTAAGGATCTGCAGAAGAGGCGTGATGCTGGCCGTAGACGCTTTAGACGTACCATGATGACTATCAAGTGTTTAGGATGCTCCGCAACTTGACACAAACAAGGATTCGGCGAACTAAAGCTACCTATTTCCATGAAGCCCTTTCATCGGCTCCAGATCGCAGATCTAAATGGTTAATCCTTCGCAAACTTTCCCTCTGTGAACCTTCCAGATTCCCTTCCTCAATAGTCTTACCCGTTTCACCTGATGATTTAATTTCACATTTTATTTCTGCCTCCTCTACTTCTTCTCTATTCTCCTCTTCCAACTTTGCTCCTGAGTCATCATTCAAGGATGATGACTTTTATTTCTCCGAAATTTCCCCCACTGACTTAATAACTGCTGTAATGAAATCCCACACCAACTCCATAGGACCAGATGGCATTCCTGTCAAATTGATAAAATTATGTCTTCCCGAAATCCTCCCAGTTCTCCTTTTCATTTACAATTTCAGAACTCAATGTTCCCTACCTCTTGGAAAAAAGCCATTGTCCTCCTTTTAAATAAAAAGCCTAATCCATCCTCTCCTGAAGATTTTCGCCCAATCCCAATTCTTTCCAATCTCTCAAAATCCCTAGAAAGATTGGTGCAATCCCAAGTTTCCAATTTCCTTGAAAAGTCCAACCGACTTGATCCTCTCCAATCTGGTTTCCATCCTGGCTACTCCACACAATCCGCCTTAATTAAAATTACCAATGATCAGACTGCAATAGATAATAAACAATTAACTGTCTTTATACTCCTTGACTTCTCCAAAGCCTTCGATTCCATTAAACATCCCATCCTTTTCAACAAACTAAAATCATTATCTTTCTCCAATAGCTCCAACTCTTGGTTCCAATCTTTTCTCTCACAATGCACCCAAGCAGTCTCCATACCTAATCAACCACTATCTGCCTACCTTACTTTATCCTCAGGAGGAAAGTCCTCAGTCCACTCCCTTTTCACAAGATCTCGACCTTCCGACCTTTACATTCCTTCCCACAGATCTGCCTCCTTCAAAAACTCGTTTATTGCCCACTCTGTTAATTTCTGGGATTCCCTTCCTATCAAAATTCGGCATTCTCCCTCTCTATCTACATTTAAAACCCTCCTATTCCAATTTCTATCCCAAAAACAGTCAGACATCCCTCCCCCCGCTAACTTTCTATATAAATTTACATATTATTTAAAATGATTCACATAATGATATATTTACATATAATTCATCACTTAAATACTTACTATCAGATTCCTTTTCTTTTTTTTTTTTTTTTATGCAGAAACACAGAGTTTATTGATAAGAAGAATGTAATGTATTTTTTTTTTTTTTTTAAGTGTATACTTATATTTTACCACTGTACATAGTTTTAAGTGTCTTGGCATGCTTTCAAGTGTTTTGTATATAGATTTTTTTTAATTTTGTACATAGTATGTTTAACTAATATTTTTTTTATTTTTACTTTTTATGTTTGTTTTTACTTAGGCTAGATATAATACTTTAATTTTGTACTTTTTTGTTATTCTAAAGCGACTTCATCCCAGAATAAAATTATTTTCTATTCTATTCTATCTATCTGTAGGGGATATCTTTAATTGAACTTATGATCACCAGTCTCAAAACTCCACACCAAAAATATGGTCAATGAAAAAATTAACCCGGAAGAGGGTATGGTCAGCAAGTGAAACAAAATATTAATCCATAGTAAGACTTCAGTGGGTAAAAAAAAATCAAATCATTAGCCCATGTGGTTTTAACATGTGGATGATTTTGTTAATTTATCTTTTGAATCCAAACAAATCACCTTAATATAAAGCTATTGTATAGAAAAGAAACATAACACAAACATTAAAGAATAGTTCTTTTTTTTTATTTAAGTATTTTCAAATTACAATAAATCATCTTATTTGAGGTTTGACCTTGAAAAATAAGTGAAAATTTTAAGACTAAAAAAATGCTCTTTGGTTAAATAGATATTGAATCTATTAATTTGTCAAATCCTTCAAAAAGACTTTTTTCCTTGAGAGGGGAATAATTCACTCCAATCACTTCAGATCAATTCTTTACAGTCCTATTGAATATTAAGAAAGCTCCTTACAATCCTAGCAATATTTAACAAGCCAGCTTTTTGTGCTTCATCTATAACATTTATTTGGATTCCAAACCTGTCAGTAGCTTCCATGGAGGATATTGATATTAGACCATTGCTGGATATCACAATAGCACTAACAATACTTTATCTATTATATATTGGTCTTTTAACCTAGCTGCTAGACCTTAACAATTTCAACTTTAAAATTACCAAACTTTCCCTCTGTGAACCTTCCAGATCCCCTTCCTCAATAGTCTTATCCGTTTCACCTGATGACTTAAATTCACATTTTATTTCTACCTCCTCTACTTCTTGTTGTCATGAAATAATAGATGTGCTTATAGCAGCTCATAACATGTGTGTTATAAATTATAACAAAACACATCATCAGACCTGTTATAGATTATGGTAGAGTCTTTTATAAATGTATAATTCCAGTACAATTTGATTTCCTCATTCTGGATGAAGTCTTTAGTTATTTCCTTTTAAGGGCTATTCTCCAATTATGTGCTGAATGGATTTGGAACCTACACTTGTCCAATATATACTGTTGCTCCAAGGCATTTTCAGTGAGATCTAGTAGCTATAACCTAATCCTGGATTGATTTCAGAAAGCTGTCTGTTGGAACTAAACTTATATTAACCAGCCAACTGAGAAAGATGGCTGCTAAAGCTAGTGAAAAAAACCTTCCACATAATGCATTCGACTTCCATTCTTACGGTCATTGTTGATATTAATGGTGGGCACAGCTTCTTGAAAATCTAGTAGCAGAACAGGGTCCAATGGCCAAGATTGTGTTTTATCTCAAGGAATGGCACCTCACTTTGTTTATTATTATGATTATATTTTTATGCTATTAACCTTATATTGAAACAGTTCAGGTTTGCTTAAAATAGTAATTAGCTTGTGCTAAGTAATACTATGTTTTTATATATTTTTAAATTAATATTTTAGTAACTAATTAAGGACAAATGAATTGTCTCATATTCAGAAATATTTTTTGCAATTGTAAAAGAATATTTTTTAGCTTATTCGATAGTTGAAGAATAAATATTGACTTGATATTAAGGAACAAATGATGTAAATATTTTCAAAAAAACTTCAAGATAACCCTTGCAAACTGATTATCTGCTTCTGTCTAGTTCAAAAGCAGTTTTTTGTAAATCACAATTATTCTAAGAAATGCAGGTTAAAAACATAAATAAAAACTTATTTATTACACTGCACATTTATTCAAACTAAACCTACATCAGATTTTATTGCTGGATGCCATGATTCTTCTAATATACACTTCACAAGGCAAATGGAATAAAATCATTTCTAATTATAACATGCTAATTAATGTAAACTGTACAATATGCAATTATCTTAACTTGTGATAGAAATGGTTGCTAAAGTTATAATCTAAACACCAAATTAAAAATTAACTGCTCTACGTCTGAAACATCACAAGACATTAACAATAATTATTATACACATATAAAAAATAATTGCAATGTCTAATACATTAATTTAGTAATTGCTTCATAACAAAAGAAAAATATTAAAAACAATTAATTTTTATCAAATAGCTGAGAATTTTCAGTATTTTTAAATTCTGTACAATAATGAGATAACACTTAAGTTTATAGACACTATTTTCATCTTAAAAATAACAAAACATTCTACTGGACAGACATTAATTTCAATATTTTTTCTAATGCATAATAAATAAACCAACTTTTAGAATATTTATTAGTAAATTTGAATATGGTCTGGATGGTAGAGTATTTCATTGATTAACATTTCTCTAAATGTCTGGAATGTTTTGTTTAGACAAAAAAGATGTCAAATGTCTTATTTTCAAAAATCTATTCTGAATATAACTTTTGTATTATATTAGTTATCATCTCATTTTCTCAAACAGTTAGCCGCTTAAAATAAATATATAGAATGAAAATATGCTACATACTTTTACATTAATATAGTAGACATGTATACAAACATATACATGGAAATATAGATAAATTATTAAAGAAAAGACAATCAATGTACATCAGACTATCATAAAACCGTAACATAGGGTACATACAAAAAATTAAGAATAATACAATGACAATTTAAGCAAAATAATGGAAAGGAATAAATTATATTGAGCTGGTTTAACAATTATACTATGATGGAGTGCCATTTATCTAACATAAACTTTCATAATTTGGCTGTGTTGAGAATAGAACAAAACTCCTCTTTATAATTTTTTTATGTGTAGATAAAAAAAGTACTAATTTACAAGTACCATTAAGAAACTGCCATTTGACAGTTCTTCTAATACTGTGAAAATTTGAATACAAACTAGAGCTTACTTCTATGTTTATTATACCCAAACTTTTCCATCTTATAACTTCAATACAATTATTTTTTTAAATATTTTATTTTTTAATATTTTTTTAAAGTATTGACTTTCAGAACAAGTTTAACTCCTGCACAATATTATAATAAGAAAACAACATTTTAAACAATGATCACCTGACATTACACAATCATTCTTTTTTGCACTTTACTTAGCAGTTTTCCAGTTTATTCACAGCCTTTTCTTTAACATACCAAATAAAAGGAAAAAAAGATTGAGTGTATTTATTGTTTAATTCAAGTGACCATATCAATACAATTTGTAGTAATTTTATATAAAGGCATATTTAGTTACACATATATAAACAAATAAAATAAGGATTTATTCAAATAATAATTTATAAAACTTTCTTTTCTACTATCATAATTTTTATATTGTATTTTAACCAAAAGAAATATTACAAAAAATTTGGTGAAAAGTTTATTAAAAAATTGTTGAATTTTGATTTATCAAAATTAAACTTTTTCCTTACTAAACACATATTAAAAAGCTTCAAAAAATTGTAGAAAAAAATCAATGGTTTGTAACTATTTGAATTACAAAATAAGCATCACGATTCACCATTACCACTATCATCGGCATCCTCATATTCATCAGCAGATATATCTTCATCATCATCATCTTCTTCAATATCATAATCATCTACATAAAAATCTGTCATATCCATATTAGCTTCGGGAGCTCTAACTCTGGTTTTAATACAATAATCTTCAAGAGTCATAGGTATTTCAACACCATCTTTTTCAGCTTCAGCTCGTCCTCCAGACACTTGTTTCCTACAGGTCAATGTTAAATTACAATATAACTAGCTATAATATAATTGAAATATTAAAAAAATATATATAATTATTAAAAATCTATTCCAGATGACAACTGTCTAAGAGCCGAATCATTTAAAAAGTCTCATAAACTGTGCTAGCATCAATAATTTTGCATAGTATAAAATTTAAAATTTTTCAAAAATAATAATCATCAGTTTATCAGTGTAATAATAGTTATGAGACTTAGAATAATGTTTTGGTAACAGTGAATATATAATTGAAATTGTTTATAGTATTTCCCTTTTCATTATTAACTTTATTTACATTCAACCTATAATGTAAATAAAACTAATAATTCTCTATGGATGAGGGTGTCAGCGAGGGTTGCTCTATTTAGGTTCTATGTCCTCACTCATGAAAGATATAATTGCTTATTAAATTGGTTCAAGACTAATGAGGTGGGCTAAACCTAGACAAGTTGGATTGTCTCAAATGAAATGATCCTTGAGCCACCATATCGATGTTCAATTAGTCTTTTGGACTTGGGTTTAATTATTTTTTTTCTATTTTTGTCTTCATATGTAATAATAATAATAATAAAAAGGCTTAGCGAACCCGAAGGTTCGGTGCCGTCACCACCAATCGCTTATTGCACACCTCCCTCCATCGTTCGCCGTCCAAACCCAGTCCCTTCAGATCGGCTTTAATGCAATCTTCCCACCTTCGCCTCGGTCTACCCCTCGGACGCTTACCATTCGGCACAGCAAATATTAACCTTTTAGGAATTCTATCGTTACTAAGTCCAACAACTTTACAAGCCCATTTGATTCGCCGCGATGAAATTACCTCAATTATATTACCGGATACAGTTCACGCAATTCGGCGTTGTGTAACCGTCTGAACTCTCCGGTTAACTCATCCTTCTTCGGTCCGAATATTCTACGCAATACTTTATTTTCAAAAACCTTAAGACGCTGCTCATCCCTTAATGTAAGCGGCCAAGTTTTGTACCCATAAAGAACTGTAGGCAAGATAATTGTTTTATAGACTCTAATTTTTAAGTTCCGGGACAAGAGGCGCGAACTGAGTAGTTTTGTCACAGAAAAATAGCAAGCATTTCCCGCCTTCAGTCTAACCTTAATTTCTTCTTCAATTTCGTTTTTTCTAGTTATCGTAGAACCTAAATACCTAAACTTATCTACATGTTCAAACATATTACCATCTATATCGATATCACCAGTAGTATTGCCATTTTTGCAGCTAACCATATATTTCGTTTTATCCACGTTTATTTCGAGTCCTAGTTCTTTACCGGCTTTCATTAACGTTGTCGTATTTAGTTTTATTGTCTTCATATGTACTAGCTTAAAATTTTTACATTAGATATTTTCTTTAATTGTAAAAAAAAAAAAATGTATTAAGTTATGTAATTGTGAGGACTAACTGAAAAAGAATGCGACAAATGAAAATGTAAAAGAAACAAAAGAAAATTAATTTAGTGATAAATCAGTTTGACTTCTTTCAGTGAGTCGATGAAGGAAAATTCACCTTTTAACCAAGAGTCACTTCTTGTAAGGATGAGGCAGTCTTGACAAACTCTTGACAGAAAAGTATGGCATTTTGAGGATGTGGGGGAGAAACTTATAGTGAGTGCTTCAAAAAAGATGTTGAACCATCAGAGGGTGATATAGTTGAAGCTGTTGATGCAGCTAATAAATAATTAGGCCCAGGGCTCGGACAAGATATCAGCAGAGCTTCTTTGCTCTGGCAGAATTGGTCTTGAAAATGAGGTTTGTAAGCTCATTCTTACCATCTGGGTAGAAGAAAGGATATTAACAAATGTAAAAAAAACAATAAGAAGGGAGATAAACTTGAATGTAGCAACTACCACGGTGTAGTCCTGCTTTCAAATGCATGCAGAGTGCTATCGAACATCCTTTTGTGAACCCTTTAAAAAACTATTGATTCTTCTGAAACAGAGTTAAGTAAATAGCAGGTAGGGAGGTCTGAAGAGGTAGGTCAACAACAGAACAAATATTTAAACTAGGACTGATATTAAAGAAGAGTAATGAACATAAGATTGTTATCATCTTTTCGTGAATATAAAATTGGTAGGAAGTGGAACCTTTGATAGTGGAACATACAAGTTTGAGAGAGTGAGCAGCTTCACATAATGGGGAACTGAAGTGAACTCGCAAAGAATATTTCCTAGAAAATATTCTGTAACAATCTTGGAAGTTTGGTAATTAAATAAATGATAACTGCTTTACTTTAGTTATTGCCTTTGTTCTGGAGAGGACAAACTCGTTAGCATCTCGTCAATTTTGACCGAACCACACTCTAATGATCCAAGATACAGATTGAAGGTAAGTTTTTTAAATATACCATTGTTAACTGCCTACTCCAACTGAAGTAACTGATAATGAAAAAAAAATCTATGATGACATTGAAAGAGCTATGGATGCATTCCCTATGTATGATGATACTCATTTAATATGAGATATAAAATAAATACATTTTCCCCATTCATTGTAATTGCAGGCAGATCACAAAGCCTGTATTTCCTCTAACAGCCTCCCACAGTCTGTATGGTCTAATGCCACAGCTCTCCTCCACTTCTGGATGCACAGAAGGATGCTCACACTCTTTCGCTCTCTTTTCCTGCTCATCAGTCAGGATCATCTTGGGAATGCTGAACATCTACCACATGATCTTCCAATCAGAATCTTCTTAACTTAATGAATGTAATGATAAAATATTAGTCATAGACTTTAATCAGAGGTTCTCAAAGAATGTGCATAAAACTTGACTATTATATCCTCCAGTTTTACCACGGACATTAAACCTGTCATAATAAGTTGATAAACAATAGAAGAGAAAATTGGTGATTTGCCATCCATAGTACACTTGGCAACTGGAGGTGTAACAAACTTTTCAAAGAAATGTAAATAGGAACAGGAGTAATAACTTTTTAATTTAATATTATTATATTTAATTTGATTTATTTTAGTAGTTAAACATGCACCTCTTGATAAAATATACCTATCCTCAACCACACCACTGTTAGTATTTATATTATTTGTTAAAAACACGTTAATCACAACTATAAACTACTTATTATTCAATATTGTTTAAGTGTTATGAACCAGCCACTCTGGGACCTTCATCACTCATTATTTTACATTGGAAATATTATATTATTTCTACATAAAATGTAATGGGTGAGCTTAAGAAATGAGGATCCCAAAGTGGTTGATTCAGAACACTATGGGTTTGATTCCCAACTAGATCAGTCAATATTTGTTTCTTTGTCACCTCAAGAAATGAATCTTGAAATTCCCAATCTGGTTAGTGTGTAGTAGCAGCAACGTTAGTTGTCAGAGGTTGGAAAAAAGGACTACAAGGCCCATATACCAGACTAATTCAATGATTTATGCAATGTAAAATAACAAGTAGTTTATATTTGTAATTAAATTTTCCTGTATCTAGGGAACACCCTGTATAAGAATCTTAGTGTCCAGAAGGGGTGCCTATCCCCCCAAGGTTAATGTGGTATGCCCCTCTCCAAGAAATTTTATTGTTCTCCTCTTCTTTAACAGTGAAAGTGGAAGTAGATTTAGATAACTTGTGATTCATATACAATTCTACTTTCCATGGTCAGCTTCATGTTTTTTCCTTGTTTTTTGGTTTGAAAAATCCTCTGAATCGAAAGCCTACAAAAAAAAAGGTTTCCTTCTAAAAATTCGTGACCCAATCACAATGAGCCCTCTCAAAAATTCAAAACCCTGAAAAATTTGCCTCCTCATAAAAATTTTTGAGGACACAACTTGTGCCATGCCACCCTCTTAGCATCGCTGACACCTGGTGGAAGGTTAAATGAAACTTTCATTGCTTCAAAAATATAAACAAATTATTGTGCTATGATAGTGATGAAAGCCATATAGCATCATTGAACATTGACATTCTACAAGTTCCAGAAAGTGGAGACTTTTGTCAGTGGCATTCTTGGAGGTAGGGAGGAAGGAGTGGAGTGTGCAGTTGACATATAGTACGGAGACCTGGCATCAGTGATTTTTTTAAATTTAATGATAATTTTATTTCAAATAAAAAACAAAACAAAATCTTTTATTAGATATTTTTTTGGGGGTAATTTTCTCTTAACTAGGACAACCTTCAGGAAACGTATTACACGTATTTACATATTTAGGGATAACATGTATGGTGTAGGGAGGTGGCGGCCCCATCGCCTGGTAATTACACCGCAATCAGCCTCTGGTCCTCCAGGTTAGGAAAACAGTACACTGATACTCATACCGTACACTAAAACAGTACATTGAACATAAGATAATTCATGGTACATACTCTAGGGTTATCTTCCCAAGGTAACCGCCCCGGACGGGAGAGCAAGTCAGGATGCTCTGAGGAGATAGCCCCTTCACCTGACTCGGGGACAGTGGGCCAACAACCTGCTTCCCTTAAATTTATCATGTTACAAATCTCTTAAGAAAAAGCTGGACTGTCTTTGAAATGAACGACCTAGGCGAGTCAAAGGATCTTGTAAACGGTTAATGTTGGCTACATGGAATGTCAGAGGTTTGGCGCAGGCTGGAGAAAGTAGGAATCTGGAAGGTACATTGCTCCAATATGGTGTGGACCTTGTGGAGCTTCAGGAGATAATATGGAGAGGAAAGGAAATAATGGATTTGGAATAATATATGATAATAAACAGTGGACATGAAAGGAATATTCTGGGAATCGTCTTTATGATTAGGAAAACCTTGAAGTATTTACTGTTGGGATACAAGATGGTCTCAGAAAGAATATGTGTGATTCGACTAAAAGGAAAATTATTTAATACTTTTATTATGAGTGTACATGACCCAACAGAGGACAGTGAAAAGGAAGAAAAGGACGACTTTTATGCAACACTATACCAAGAATATGACTTGTTACCACATCAAATAAAATAGTTATGGGTGACTTGAATGCAAAAATTGGAAAAGAAGAAGTTTCTCAGCCAATCGGTATGTTTAGTAAACATTACTATCCAATGATAATGGAATTAGAAGTATAGAGTTCGCCCAAGAAAAAGGTGATCAAAAGTACACACTTCCCTCATAAGGAAACCTGGATGCCCCCACGGTCTCATTGACTCTAGACACTGTTCCGATATAAATGATGTGAGATATTATCGAGGAGCAGACGCAGACACTGATCATTTCTTGGTTAAAGTATATTTGGTAAAAGACAGAGAATAGAATGCAACGTCCAAGTAAAAGGGAAAAGAACAATTAGGTATCAAAGTGGAAATTAAAAATACCTAAAAAAGCTGAACAATTTAAAAGTAATTTTACAGAAATCATTTTTAAAGAGATATGATGAAAATACAGAAATAAACAGTTATTTGGAAAATATTTAATCATCTATAAATGAGAGGGCCAAGGAGGTACTGAAGACAACACAGAAAAGAAGCGAGATTGAGAATGCTTACTGTAGGCACAAGAAGAAATAGGGAGGAGTATATCTCAATGAGAAGAATCGCAAAGAAGGTATGTAGGCAGAAGAGAAGTTTTGAAAAAAGCAAACTCGAAATGCTCCAAAGTGATTATGATTCAAAACTGACAAAAAAATTCTATAAAGGCATGAAGGAATTTAAGAATGGTTTCTAACCCAAAACGACAATATACAAAAATAAAAAGAGTGAACTTATTAGCGATCCATCACAAATCATGGAGACTTGGAGAGTGTATTTTAATGATTTATTAAATGTTCAAAAACCACTCCCAAACAACATAGTGTGAAACTGCCTTAGAGTGGAACAGAAGGACATTAATAAAAGTGATGTAGAGCATCCAGATTATGAAGATTTGTTAGATGTAATAGCCGCACTAAAGAATAATAGATGTCCTGGTCTGGATAGTATAGATGCAGAGATGGTGAAGAATTGCGTAGTTTTAGTTAAGGGAGATCTACAACCTAATGATGGAGGTTTGGATAACAGAACAGATGCCTAAAAAATGGACTACTACTATCATATGCCCTGTTTTTAAAAAAGGAGAAAAAACAAACCGACAATTTTAGAGGTATATCATTGTTAAGTACAGCATACAAAGTATTTGCAGTTCTGTTGAATAAAAAAGTTCAATTTTTGTCAGAGAAGATTTTAGGGTAAATATCACTGTGGTTTTAGGCCTGTTAAATCAAACATTGACCACATTTTCTCGATAAGGCAAATGTTAGAAAAAGCATGTGAGTACCAAATATACTTATGTCACATTTACATAGATTTTAAACAGGCATATGATAGTATAAACAGAGGAGAATTACTGAAGGTAATGACAAACTTGTGAATTCCCAAAAAACTGGTCACTTTGACAAGAATAACTTAAGCGGTAGTAGATCAGTTGTGAAGATCAATGGCCTATTGTCGGAGGATTTCGAGGTGAAAGATGAGCTTAGGCAAGGAGATCTTTTATCCTCTACTCTATTTAATATTGCTTTAGAGTATGCAATAAGGGCGTTCCGGACATATCCTGGTGGCATGGTTTATAATAGAATGACACAGCATCTGGCTTATGCTGATGATGTAATAATGGCAAAAAATAAAACAGCATTAACAGGGGCATTAGAAGAATTTGAAACTGCAGCAAAAAAGCTAGAACTACAAATAAATAAATAGAGGACTGTTTACATGCAAACATAAAAAAAGTCCAGTGAAACAGTTGAATGCCTCACAATTAGTAACCACACCCTAAAAGTGGTCAAAAAATTTTAATATTTGGGAGCACTAAATACCAAAAATAATTAAATAGTGGAAGAAATGAAATCAAGGATGGCAGTTGGGAATAGGTGCTGTTTTGCAATGCGAAAAATATTGAATTATAGATCCGATCCCTTTCTTACTTACCCGTCGTTACCTATGGTTCTGAGACTTGGGTGGTCTCTAAAGCTTCAGAAAACAAGCTACTCGCATGGGAGAGAAGGGTTCTCTGCAGGATTTATGGCCTGGTGTGCGAACATAGACAATGGAAAATTCGCACTAATAAAGAGCTGTGCGAGGTGTACGCGAGGCTGAATTTGGTTTCAATTATGAGAGGAAACCAGATCAGATGGTTGGGCCATGTGGCATGTATGCCCAGAGATGCAATTCCGAAACGCTTGCTAGAGAATCGGCCTATTAAAAAACGAGAAAGAGAAAGACCACATCTGAGATGCCTGGACCAGGTGGAGGACAGCCTGAAAAGGATGAGAATGATCGCGCAGGATAGAGGAGAGTGGCGAAGGATCATAAGAGGCCCAGGTTCTTACAGGACCATAGCGCCAAGAATAAATTAATAAAATTTTCTCTTTATAGATTTATAATATTAATCGAGTTAACACACTTTAACTGAAGAACGGCATTTCATTAAATGAAAGTATAACATGAAATAATGTATATTTTTAATTTACTTGATTTGTTTTCAAGCTGATTATTCAACTGAATATTATAAAAAATAAACTTAATGACATAAACAGATAAACATGAAAAAATACTTTTTAAATTTAAAATAAAAGATTTTTTTTTATATTTTTCATCTTCAAAAATAAATCAGTTTTAGGGCCCTACTTAAGTAGATGCCCACATCAGGAGGCTTTATTTAAAAATTTTTTTAGGGGCCTCAGAAATAAATCTTCCACAGACCCCAAATGGTTTGAGTAGGCTACATATGTGGTAAAATCCCAAAATGGCACATCACAGGGAATCAATACTCCCAGTAGATGTTTCTACGGCTTAGCAAAACATTATAGAAGCAGGTATATTTGCTTCATCACCAAATTAACCTATACAAGAAAAACAGAGTTCTGGACGAGGGACAAGTATGTAGAAAAAAAAGGGAGGCCTACATGACCTACATTATTAAAAAAAAAAATTATTTCTTAAGGTGCTTTTTATTAAGAAATATTTGAATTGTATTTCATCCACTATATCTCTAATTCACTTGCTTTAATGATTGATTTTAATATTTTTTTATGATTATTAACAAGTGGTGGGTGTTCCTCATGATCCGGTGTCCCCGGACAATTGCCCAGCCCGAAGGCTGGCACTGATAAACACCTATTATAATTAAATTTAACAATGTATTGAAATATTTCTCACCTAATAATATTTTCATATTCTTTATCTTTTCCTTTAGAATCTCTCCAACGCCGATACATAACTGAAGCATCCACATTAGCAGGACTGAACGTATTTGGTTCGTTCAATAAGGAGATGACTGATAGCAAAATAGTTCTAAAACAAAATCGTTAACAGAATAAATTATTTTAAAGAGTGATAGATGTACATTTTTAATAATACATTTAATTCATTTTCACTGTGGTGGTAAACATTACTAATCATTTCATTGAAGAAAATTTTACATTAGTACTATATCAAAGTTGCCTTCTGGTTTCCATTAATTAAAAAGCAACATCAACATCAACATCAACATCAAATTGTATTGTTACATATTATAAAAATCACATTTTTATTTAATTAATTAATTTTATTTAACACATGAAATAAAATAAGAGAGATTACTTATTACTGAGAAGCACTGATACTGAGAGTATTTATTTAAAATTGATTTATGGTTTCATTAGGAGCGCCACTTATTCAAAGGAAGAGATGCATTTGCTCACAGTTGTAATAGAACGACATTATGATGTTCTGTTTTTGTTATGCTAACCATCTTTTAGGCTATTTATGAAAATTATGAACATTTCAAGAGTAATATTGGACTTTATAGCAAATAAGTAATATTACTGGGATATAGCAAAATAAATTCTAAAGAGAAACTTTAAAATTGAAACCTTTAAGTTAAATTTAAATGAAAAAGAATCTAACTTCTAGGTGTTAACAATGACTCTGTTTCATTTGTCTTTGAATAAATGAAATACTTATATATTTATGCAATATAAAGTAACTATTCACAAAATCATTTTTACAATAATATACAGGTATATAATAAAATGAAAAAAATATTTTTTCAATAATTAATTATTTATCTTCTTTCTTTCCTCATATAGTCAGCACTTCCCTACGTCTCTGAATAACTGAGAACTCAATTATTTTTTTATTATTTACTGTCTTCTGAATCTGTAGTAATATTTTGTTTCTATAACTAAATTTTGGTGAATATTCACATTCCTATGTATGTTTGGTGATATATATTATTGATTTCTTGTACATGAGTTATATCTTTATTTTAAATATATCTGGTAGTTCATTATTTATACTATGTTCGGGTTGTCCAATCATATATGAGACTGGCTCCAATGACTAATAAAAGGATCTATCAATCTATAAAAATATTGTAAAACTTATTTAAATTTTACCTCTCAAATTTTGTTTAAAAATTTATACCTGACATTTTGGGTCGGATTCCACCTTTCACAAGGGAGTTCTCCAGATTGAGGATCATCTACAGGAGGGTGGAGTATAGAAATGCATAAGTCTCCATTCTGAAAATATAAATTAAATATTTTAAAAAATATATAAAAACTGATAAACAATAAAAATGAACTTTTGTTAAACAATATAAATGTTCTGGATTAACTAAATTAAATTATTAATAATTATTATTGGACATTTTAGTGACTTCTGAAAGTGGACAATGAAGCAATTTAATGAAGTTTTCGCAGAAAATGAGTGATTTTTATAAGATACAAATGCGTAATATTTTTTACCAGTTTTTAATTCTTTGTTACTCATAGTGAGTTCAAGAGAAATAAACTAATATTTAGGTACATAATTAATTTAAAATAGAGATATAGAAAAGTATTAACAGTTTAGTTTAAATCTGAATGCAGCACTAAGACAAAATATGGTGACAAACAAAATTGATTGAAGGAAGTAAAATATTTATTTTAATAAACAATACCGCAATTTTAATAGACAGAACATTTTCTGAGATTGTCTTAGCTTATTTAAGAATAATCTTTGCCTATCATAACATATCTTTCCTAGTACTAAACATTCATGACTGCATATTAATTTCATTTATACATCTTTGAATTACCTCATAAACATTGGGGTGCCAAACTTTTGTAAGAAATCTAATGCTTGGTGGAGAATAAGGGTAGTCTGGTGGAAATTTCATGTGTGCCTGAAAAAAAAAAAAGTAAATAAATTATAATAATAATAAAATATAGGATTTTCAAACAGAACAGGTACTTCATAATTTACTTTACAATATCATAAACTCACTATTTCATGCAATATAATGTTATATTATATTTTTATATTCACAAGTGCTATACTAAATGACTCACAATCCACAATTACCTCAAATAATATTATAGAAGTGGGAGGAGAGGCGTTATGAAGGATACAAAAAAGTAATAAAAAAAGTTGAAAAATACATAAAAAAATGTACTCATTATATTAAGTAGGTTCAAAAAAAGAAGGAAGGTAGTGAAATTAGTCATTCAACTAAAGAAAATTTGAATGATTAGCAAACTTAGATTAAGTAAATAGTAAAACTGGTGGAATCATGGAATGGTTGCCCAGGTGCTAAAGTATAGAAATCCCTTTTTTAAACTTGTATAAAGTATTAAAGTGCATTGGAGATCCTGAGCATCTCCTAAAGAGAAATGAATTTTTAATTTTTGGTAGACTTTTAATATTAAAAAAAAATTAATTAAGCGAAAAACCTGGTTTTAGAACATGGTTTTGATTTAATCACTTGCTTACACAACCGTCAACCAATAATACTTTCTTACAAAGTACTGAATCACTGACCCTCCATTAGTTGCAGTGGTACAGATATAATTTTAGATTTTATGCAAAACATTTTTATCCTTAACAAAAGAAGATTTTTTATGTTGGGAAATTATTTTATTTTATATTTCTCCTAAATGGAAATGTGAAAGAATCTGACATGACTCGGAGAAACAATTTTGTAATGTTACTAATTTTAAGTATCATTTAATATGGCTGAACATGGTTTGGATTTCATGTAAAACAGTCAGTAATATATATAGCAATATAGGCCTTAGTAATATTAATATAGCAAATATAATAAAGTCTTATTCAATTTTTTTTTTTTTTTTTTGTGGTTCCTTACATTAAAGAAAATTTTTGGATCTATACCTGTTGTAGTATTGCAATGTTCAGCTATTGCAGGAATAACTGACAGAGGTTTCAGGGCAATCAAATTTATAATTGTTAAAATTGTAGTCAAGGAAAGACCTGAAAATTAATAAATGAATAAAATAACGAGGAAAAATGGCCTTTTTTTTTTTCAGTTCAGGAAACAGGATGGAATGCATTAAACAGTTTTCAGTTATTTTTGAAAAAATAACTGAAGACCTAAATGGAAGAACACTTTATGCAAAGCTATAGGGACTATAGAGTGGGGAGAGGGAGGATATATTGCATATTGCAAAGCGGAAACTTGCCCCAAACGGCAGGATTTAGAGAGTGACGAATCATTTTGCATCTATACAGATTCTGTTGTAGGAGCGGATTTTTCTACTTACTGTAATATATATTATTGTATATATGATATTTAATATTCATTTACTTGTAAGCCATTTTGTTGTACTTCTGTTATCAGAGTCTTAGCAAATTTCCTAATGTCCTCTTAAATGCTTTTAAGAACAGCTATATCATCTACTTAACCTAGGATTTTATGATTCACCCCAGTGTGGCCATTGGAATGAATTATAAAATTCTTACTAAAAAAAAACCCTCTTTTTTCACATGATGTTCTTGTTTCTTCAGAGCTAATATGAGCAGGATCGGTGGGATTCTATTTTTCTTTCCTTCATATCTCTTCGAACTTCGAAGGCTTCAGATTTCTCTCCTAGCTAAGACTCGGCATTAAGGATTACACGCCTTCACCAATCTAACCAATAACCTGAGAACTGCCATATTATAGTTATCTATACATAATCCACTCTGAAAACGATAGACAATTTAAAATTTTATGGCAGAGGAAGAAAAGAATAAAAAAATATTCATAATATTTATAATTATGGCATGAAAATAAACGTGATTTGTTTTGCTTTTCATCTGTGTATATCTTCAAAGTCTACCATGTATTCTCATTAATTTTACAACGACATTATACGGATATGGGTATTATTTTGTTAGTTATATTATTTAGGCATTTTAATGAAAATCTTTCTTTGTTATAGAGATAGGCAGCGTTATTTTTTAACGCACAGGAGACTAAATAAAACTAATGTTAGGAAATAATAATCGAAGGGTAAAATGTGCCTACTATTAATTTAATGGCATCTAATCTGAATATACCGCAAATGATTAACTACTCCACAATATACTAAGACAATGAAATTTTAATATAGTTTAAAAAATCAAGGATAGATTTTTCTAAGAATGTCATCTGAGGAATAGAAAAACTGATTATTGTTTTGTAATCATATTAAAAGTGATATCATATAGTAGTCACAACAGAAATTAAAAATATATATATTTTTTTGGACATTAGGAACAAAATCATGATTTTTATTTTAGACAACGCCAGCAATATTTCAGCATTGAAATATGCAATTTCACTTTATTTAATAAAATAAAATCACACATCTCAATGTTGGATTTCATAAGTATCAAAATCTTTTGTTAAGTATTGTCAGTTTATAGCAAAAAGTTAATGACTTAAGAAAGTTAGTAACATTTCATAAAATTAAAGCACTAAACACTGTAATGTTTTTTTTTTTCTCCAAAATCAGAACAAGATGAATTTGTGTTAGTGTAAGTATTTTTGATTCATAAAAAAGTTTGTCTAATTTTGATACACTAATGAGCTTTTTTGCACTAATAAGTAAGTTCGGTATTTACAAAACTTATTTAATAGTTTAGTTCCATCTAAGATTTACTTGTTGGCTTATCACAATAAATCTACGATATATTAAAAAAAAAAATCAACTAATCAATTAATGACACACCATCAAAACAATCAATAAAAATGGATCTTAACTGATTGGACAATGATAAAAAGATATGCTGAGGAGTATAATATATTTCAATTTTTTAGCTTCATATTTTTAATTATTTTTTTTAAATTTATCAGTTAACTTGTTTGAAGCAGGTTGTACCATAGGGGGTAATAAATGATAGTGGGACGACCCTCCATAGCTGAAGATAAATGATTACCATAAAGAATTAGTAGGTCTACAAGGGAAGGAGAGGGGAGGCTTTGGGCTGAAGCCCCCAAAACAAAAAACATTTTTTTTCCATAGGTGCATAGTTGTTAATGTGAATGACCAGAGCTAAAGAGTTAAACAGTTATAGCGTTTTATATTTTTAAATCATAATGCACATACAGCTAATAAATGTAAACACAAGAAAAATAATAAAAGAGGGGCGCCAACCATATTGTAATACCTGCCAGTCTCCCCTAATCATAAAGTATATAACGGAAGATTGTACATTAATACATCAAGCCTTTGTAAAAAACAAAATATCCCCTTGTAGAGAACTAGCATTAAAAGACTCAGTATATCCAATAGAAAATATCATAAAGCTTTTAAAACAAATACAATTGTACCATAAAATATAATAATTAATGCAATACATGAGAAGAAACTTTTGTTTTAACATTACATTTTTTATACATTCAGAAAGATAAGTTAAAAATAACACCATAGCTCAAGGGCGTAAGAACCAAGTTGTTGATCCCCTAAGACAACTCGTAACGTAACCTAACACAAGAAAAAAGTATGTATTTTAAAAATTATTCCTATAAGCATATTGTTCTCGTAATAACCCTTTTCTTTTTTTGCTTCAAGGACCACTTAAACAAAATTTTATATGTTTATGTTTTTTTCTTCCAAAGTAATTATCGTTTTTATTAAAAAAAAAAAAAAAAGCCAACTCCCCAAAATTTAATCCTTGAACCGCTTCTGTCACAAGTCAATGCCCCAAAGCTCGATGACAACTTCATTATAAACAAAGAAAGTCAGTTTACTTACACTAGTAAAAAAAAAATAAATAAATAAAAAGGAAATCAATTAGGTAGAAAGTGAAATCAGCGCTCGTTGTTACGTAAGAGACGGAACACAGCAGTTGATTAATCTAGTAAAATGTCCTTTAAACCCATTTTTTCTTCATCGTTCACGACCTGGGCAAAGTTAGTTTCCTGTTAGCTTCATCATACTTTGTTTTGCGATGAAAAATGCAATCGATGTATTATTTTTAATAAGAAGATAATTATATTACATTATATTTTGTAAGGAATAAAACCTAGGATTATTAAAATATGTTACGAATGAAAATATGTAAAGTGAATAGCGTATCGAAATAAGCTGAGGATGGAAGCCTTCCGAACTATTTAGATCACTACTTACATATGAACCTTTCAGTTGACAGAATAATTAACTCCAATTTCAACATTTTTGATTATCAATTTTAGTGATATTTCTAGTGAGAAAATGTATACCTTTATTCACAGTTCTATATTTCAACATTGTAATTACCTACATTGGAATCAATTCACTCACTGCCTGTACAGATATTATAATTTTTCCAATTAGAAATATCACTGAAATGACTTTACTCAAAAATGTTGAAATTGGAGATAGTCATTCTGTCAACTGAAAGGACCATATATTTATATGATTTATCAGAATATTTCTGTATTGTCTATTATCCTCTTGTCTTATTATCATCTGCTTTTCTGATGTATGAATTTACATCGAGCAAGTTCCTAAATTTATCATTAATTCCAACGACGGAATCCATCAATACTTTTAATCCAGCAGCGATGGTCAACGATTTATGCTGAGTTTAAGAACAACCTAATAGTCTTCAATGGAAAATAATATGACAGACCACATGGAAAAAAGAAAATAACCACTTACTGAATTGTTGAATTTTAAAACAGAAATTAATGAGGAAAGAAAAAGAGAATAAATGAAGGAATGCGTTTAATTCCATCGATGAGTTTAGGAATAGTCTAATATATTTCCAATGCCATCAGTCAGCTCATCGCTAAGTTTAGAAAATTTCTAATTATTATTAAATTAAAATTTTCATCATTTATACATACATATTTGGTTAATCAATAACATTTTCATGGTGTCTATATTCATCATTTTCTTAAAGAAAAAAAAACTTATTTCTTGTTAAATTGTTGTTCATAAAGGGATAGTATTGCTTTTCATCATGCCAATCAAGCCTTTTTATATATATTTTATCTATTTTTTTTTTCATGACAATGGCAGCACATCTCCTGATTGCCGATAGTTGTAACTGACAGGTCAATTGCAGAATTATTAGTGCTTGTAAATTTCTTTTTCCCTTTAATCTTCAGAATTAAATATGTAAATCCAAAAGGGGCATGTCGATCCTAGGTGCACGAGCTAGTATTGGATCATAAAGGGATAGGATGATAAATAGTTGACGGTGTGATTAATAAGTTTGTCCAGTGGAAAGCCAGCCTTTGTGCGAAGGCTACTGTTAAATAAGTGAGTTAGAAGCGGGCCAATAGCGTCCTTCTTTATCCCCTGCTCTAGATCTCAGCCGTTCTTCAACTATTCAATGAGCCGGAACCCAAAGCCTCCAAATATAGACAGTTCTAAATGGAAACCGTCATTTCGGATGTCCCCTGGCTCAGGGCTCAACTGTCTGTCCTCGCTGCCAGTAGCGAGGTCCTGGGCCATGATAATGTTACCACTGCCTTCGGAATTAATAAGTTAAACAACTGAATTAAAATTACTATTAATGGAAATTAGAGTAGAAGAGAGCGTTGGTCCAAGATCGGGACAACTGGTCCCAACTTTGGAAGCGGTAACCTCGTACTTCACAGCAGTATCCGCTCTCTACTTTCAATTGATATCAAATTACTCATCTACAAGACAATCTTGAAACCTATTCGGATCTACGGACTAGAACTGTGGGAGCAGCAAAATTGTCTAATTTAGAATATATCCTTCTAGATTTGAACTAGAAGGATACTAAATCCACCAACATATTTTGTGCTTTTGGATTACTATTTAATAAATTTGGATATAAAAATGATTGCCGTTATTGGGGAATGTAACCCAAAATTTTTATATTCATAACCATCGTTAAATATTATAGTCCACGCTACATTTTTTTTTTTTTATTTGGGTTTTTCTACAACTTAAGGAGTCATATTCCCAACACCCAAAAGCCACTGCTCCTTGTAAATCACTGCAGTACATATAAATATCAAATTATTAGGATCTGTCAACCCCCGCCCCCCCACATCCCTATAAATTGCATATTATTGTCTTCCTTGTAACTATTTATTAAAAAAAGGCCAATTTTCCCTTAAAAAAAAGTGAACGTATTGCCCAAAAATAGAGTCCAAAGATGGCGAAATGACGACTTTGACTTGAGTTAGATTTTTGGTCACTGAGGTTCAGCATTTTGCTTAATTTCGTCATAATTGGCCTTTTATTAAAGCTGGAAAGTCAGAGAATAATAAAACATGAAACGATATTAAAACTTAATTGGCTTATGCAATAAAAACAGTCTTTACTGGTGTTTTTTATTGCCTAAGCCAATTATGTTTTAATATTGTTTCATGTGAAGCCTACCGATGATTTAAAAGCCTCCGTGACACCGGCATTGGTCCAAACACAAGATTCCGTACGTCTTTAAATAGCCTGAAGAGAATTAATGAATTTGCTAGATATACGCAACATATACAATTTATATAAAAAAAACGAGTTTCTGTCCGCTGAGTCAAAAGCTGACTTAAAATCGATAAACAGACAATACAACTTGTGACCTTTTTTACTTGTTTGTATTTTAATAATATTTAACAGGGTTAAAAATATTATCGATAGTCGAATATCCCTAGAATACAAAGGAGGAATTCAGCTGGACAACCCTTGACAAATTCGTATCGTATCCTGCGTCATTCTGATTTTTTGCTTTAGCAATAACTTTCTTTAACTCAATAAATTCAAATTCACTATCTAGAGTCATGTGGTGGGGCTAAAACTGATGGATTTAATAAACTCCAAAAATAATCCACCCACTGTTCGCTTTTAATATCCGTACTTCCAACAACCTTCTTCTTTTTTATTCTATTAATTAGATCCCAGAATTCTTTCGAATCTTTTACAGACTCAAACTTTTTAACAATATCGACATTAAAACGCTCGTTTTTTAAATTTACAAAATTGATTTACTTAAATTGATGTTTATTAACCCTATCCCTTTTAATACGGCTTCCTAAGAAAGAAGTATTTTAATAACACGAATAATTTTTACAAAAGTAATTTACTTTATTGAGATATATTACAATCTGTCACATTCAAGGACAATGGTAGTAATGATAAAGAATAACACTAATAAAAAAATTGATAGTCTCTTGAGGCTTTTATGAAACTTCCAAATCAATTTTACTTATATTATTTTTTAAATTATAATCGTCACTCCTAGTCCATTTCAATTTGGGCAGTATCGGTAGAGCATTTAAATTGTTTAATCTTTTTAATTCTTGCAACAAGTGCAGAGTCATTAAATATTTCTGATTTAATCTTAAATTCTTTAAAATATTGCAACAAGCCAGTAGAACTTATCTATATATGTTATATATAGTAAGGGAAAGTATTGCGATCGTGAAAATTTTCGAATCTAAGTTTTCAACGGAAATACACGTTTTGAGTTACCCTGAGTCTAAATAACCACCAAGTCCCGCAAAATGGTCTGTGTGTATGTAAGTGTTAAGTCTAGCTCAAAAATGAAAAGTCGTACGAAACTGATATTAGGTATTTAATATAGGTGTATGCCTCGGATGTGACAGCCACCTTTTCGTTAAAATCGACTAACCGAAAGTGGCACTTTATGTCAACGGTGATACACATCTTCACAATTTTCTCAAAAACGGCTTCAACGATTTCGATAAAACTTGGTGTGTCATTGTATACTTAAGTGGTCTTTAATATCATTGAGGTCTTATCCCCATTGATGTCACTTTACAGTGCTTAAATGTTCCTCCATGCTTGAACATGTCTATCTCTATTAAGAGTTACGAAAAAATGCTAAATATAACTTTTGAAAGCATTTGATAATTGAAAAATGAAGAAAAAAGGGAAAATATTTATTTAGGCCGAAAATGAATTTCCGGAAATACTAGTCAGAAGTTTTATACTATATCGTTGGAAAGCGGAGAATTTTAGAAAAAAACAATATCTAATATAGAAAGTTGTAGAAAGTAATGGAGAGTGACGAAACTTAATTTCATTAAAATATAAATAATAATTTGTGAAAACTAATATTATTTAACGGAAATCACATGTTTTCAAGGAAATTAAATGAAATTTACTAACTAAATGTAAACTTTTTTAAGTTTGAAAAAAAGTATTTAAAATCCACCTAATCAAGGCAATGACATTGTTTAAAAAACTATTTCATAGTACTTATGTGAAATTTAAAAATGTTTCATAGGTGTATAAAGCATATGTTTATAACCTTATATACATTTACTGTAGTTTAGTAACTCTAGATCTGACATTTTCTTTACATAATTAGGTATTAACGTCCGCTTATTCCGAAAATCGTCTGAAATTAAAAAAAAAAAAGAAATTAGTGAATAATTTGATGAATTTTCCCTTTGTTAAATACAAATATTATCCGCTTAAAATTAGTGTAAAAACTTTTGACCTGTTTATGGCAGGTAATGAAAATCTCGTAATCTCTTTGTAGTAAACTTTACAATGGAAAATAACAGTTTAATAACTAATAGGCGGACAGTACATAATCATTTATAGGTTGAATATAGAGATATAGTTTCAAATCTCCCTAGACATATGTATATTGCTCAGAGATTGGAGTTCTGTGCTTTACAAAAACAGATAGAGTACAGAGGTTCTTATTGTCTACCCGTTGATATAATTAATAGCGTTTTTGTTGTTTTAATGGTGCTAATGATTTGTTAGCTATAAACTTTAAGCTATAGCTATGTTAAAAGTGCACTTCAAAATTTTTATAATTGATCAACATTGCCAGAAAATAATTTATATTCAAAGTAGAAAAGAAATGAAAGTTGTGTGTTGTGCGCATCAGATTTTTTTAATGGTGTTCACACTGTTTGACTCTCAGTGTGTTTTTCTTTTCCTGATAGAAGAGCGAAAAAAATGTGTTAAACAAAAGAGAGAAAGAGAGAAAAAAACTGTTAAACCCACAGTTATCTCATGTAATCTCTATTAGTTTGTTATACACTTATTCTTTATCTTTTATCGCAATCTGTTTACTTTTAACTTACATGCTATATTCTCCTTTATTTTTATTTTTCTTCATTTTTGATTCATACTTATTTTCCATTTATTTGTATCTTCTACATATATAATACTTAATATTTTACTACATTGTCACCCACTATATCTCTGATATCATTTTTTATTTCTGTATCTGACAACTTCTTCTTATTTTATATCTACTTATATTTAATTTTTATTCTCAACATGTTTTGTATCTTTTGTAGCCCTGATGACGACCTGCAAAGTGGGTCGAAACGTCGGCAAAATTAAAATAAATATAATTACTATATTTTAATTTAGTATTTATCTGACCGCACCCCCGACTAACTCCTTCTCAGAGAAAAAAATCATTTGAATTTATTAATTTATTTTATATTTAATTGAATAAAACAACTATGAAGGAATATAAAACAAATAATAAAATATTGTTCAACATATTTCTGCTAATATACGAAATATTATATGTTTTTTAAACTTCGTTTCATGAAAGAAAGAATAATCTGTACTTACAAAAAGTGAGGATAATTTTTTTTAAAAGTATTAATGGAAAACAATGAAATAATAAAAATGAAGTGGAGATATTAATTTGATTTTTCGGGTCGCGTTATGGCGACATGAGAGAGGGCATTGACTAGGACGGGAAACGGAATGAGTAAGAATAGCTGCCACCACTTCGTCTCTATTGTCAACAACCAACCGAGCTCGTTGGAAATCATTAACTTCCCACTAGCTTGCTAATGAACAACCAATCCACTCGTCGGAGAACATTACTCATTATTAAAATCTTTTAGAACATTACTCAACGAATTAATCATTAAAATCCATTATTCAGTGTATTGCACAGATGTTATTACAGAAAAAAATAAAATAAAACAGAAAAAAGGGATGACACATAACGCCATCCAAGATGAATATATTTGCACATGTTGCTAGGCTCATCCATCATAATCGGTAAACAGCAATTGATCACTAAACAAAAAGAAAGAATGAAATGGAAGTATCTATAACGATATTAGAGAAGCCTAACAATATCTTTCAACAAGTCTCAACCTTATGATCCTTTATTTGAAAATCTACAAAAGTTTTTGTTAAAACCGCTATACAAAGGATATGGAGATGAGCCTGTCACTCGGTTTGCCTGATTTTTTCCTCGTCTTAGGTGAAATCTCCTGCCTCTCCCCAAATAAGGAAGTGATAAAAACGGTGAAACAGTATAAAAACCTTTTGTCATAGTCTCGAAAATATTTATTTATTGAATGACCATCACCAAAAACAGAATAATGAAAATTATAAGTAAAACCAAACTTGATTATGGTCCAAATAATAGAACATCATTTTTTTACCTATACGATTTTTACCTTCAATAGAAAGAAACACATAAATCTCTTGCACCAACTCTAATTTAACGGGGTACGGAAGTGGCG